TGCCAGTTCTCTGTCCCACTGAACCCCGTTCAGGAAGTTCCTCATTCCTGTGTAGTCCCCTTTCTTGTAGTTTGGCTTCATTCGTCCTGGCCTTCCTGCTTCTCCCTCCACTTGTAGCTCTACTGTGTATTCGAAGCTTAAAACCACATGGTCACTGGCCCCAAGGGGTCTTTCATATGAGATGTCCTCGATATCTGCACTACTCAAGGTGAATACTAAGTCTAGCCTTGCTGGTTCATCCTCTCCTCTCTCTTGTAGTGTCCCTTACGTGTTGGTACATGAAGTTTTCCAGTACCACCTCCATCATCTCAGCCCTCCATGTATCTTGGCCCCCATGCGGGTCCAAGTTCTCCCAATCGATCTCCTTGTGGTTAAAGTCACCCATGGTCAGGAGCTTTGCCCTGCATGCATGAGCTCTTCTGGCCACTCTAGCCAGTGTGTCAACCATCGCTCTATTGCTCTCGTCGTACTCTTGCCTTGGCCTCCTGCTGTTCTGTGGTGGGTTATACATCACTGCTATTACCACCTTGTGTGTGTGTTCGTGTGTGTTTGTGTGTGTACTCACCTATTTGTGGTTGCAGGGGTCGAGTCACAGCTCCTGGCCCCGCCTCTTCGCTGATTGCTACTAGGTCCTCTCTCTCCCTGCCCCATGAGCTCTATCATACCTCGCCTTAAAACTATGTATGGTTCCCGCCTCCACTACGTCACTTTCTAGGCTATTCCACGGCCTGACTACTCTATGACTGAAGAAATACTTCCTAACATCCCTTTGATTCATCTGAGTCTTCAACTTCCAATTGTGACCTCTTGTGTCTGTGTCCCATCTCTGGAACATCCTGTCTTTGTCCACCTTGTCTATTCCGCGCAGTATTTTATATGTCGTTATCATGTCTCCCCTGACCCTCCTGTCCTCCAGTGTGGTCAGGCCGATTTCCCTCAACCTTTCTTCGTAGGACAATCCCCGTAGCTCTGGGACTAGTCTTGTTGCAAACATTTGCACTTTCTCTAATTTCTTGACGTGCTTGACTAGGTGTGGATTCCAAACTGGTGCTGCATACTCCAGTATGAGCCTGACGTAAATGGTATACAGAGTCTTAAACGAATCCTTACTGAGGTATCGGAACGCTATCCGTAGGTTTGCCAGGCGCCCGTATGCTGCAGCAGTTATCTGATTGATGTGCGCCTCAGGAGATATGCTCGGTGTTATACTCACCCCCAGATCTTTTTCCTTGAGTGAGGTTTGCAGTCTTTGGCCACCTAAACTATATTGTCTTCGGTCTTCTTTGCCCTTCCCCAATATTCATGACTTTGCATTTGGCAGGGTTAAATTCAGAGAGCCAGTTGCTGGACCAGGCTTGTAGCCTGTCCAGGTCTCTTTGTAGTCCTGCCTGATCCTCATCCGACTTGATTCTTCTCATTAACTTCGCATCATCTGCAAACAAGGACACTTCTGAGTCTATCCCTTCCGTTATGTCGTTCACATATACCAAGAACAGCACAGGTCCTAGGACTGACCCCTGTGGAACCCCGCTTGTCACAGGCGCCCACTCTGACACCTCGTCGCGTACCATGACTCGTTGTTGCCTCCCTGTCAGGTATTCTCTGATCCATTGCAGTGCCTTTCCTGTTATGTGTGTGTGTTTGTGTGTGTTTGTGTGTGTGTGTGTTTGTGTGTGTTTGTGTGTGTTTGTGTGTGTTTGTGTGTGTTTGTGTGTGTTTGTGTGTGTTTGTGTGTGTTTGTGTGTGTTTGTGTGTGTTGTGTTTTGTGTGTGTTTGTGTGTGTTTGTGTGTGTTTGTGTGTGTTTGTGTGTTTGTGTGTTGTGTGTGTTTGTGTTTGTGTGTGTTTGTGTTCGTGTGTGTTTGTGTGTTTGTGTGTGTTTGTGTGTGTTTGTGTGTGTTTGTGTTCGTGTGTGTTTGTGTGTTTGTGTGTGTTTGTGTGTGTTTGTGTGTTCGTGTGTGTGTTCGTGTGTGTGTTTGTGTGTTTGTGTGTGTTCGTGTGTGTGTTCGTGTGTGTGTGTTCGTGTGTGTGTGTTCGTGTGTGTGTGTTCGTGTGTGTGTGTTCGTGTGTGTGTGTTCTCATCTGAGCTGCCTCCTGGTGTTGTCTCTGCAACAACATTATTTGCTATATTCCTTCATTTTAGGGTCTCAAGTTGAAATCCCCCAGGAGCAAGATGTTGGGGGTAGGAGCTGGAAGATTTTCCAGACAGTGGTCAATTTTCAACAGCTGTCCCTGGAATTGTTGGGACGTTTCATCCGGAGGCTTGTAGACTACCACAATGGCTAGGTTTTGGTCCTCGATCTTTACTGCTAAAACTTCCACTACATCATTTGAGGCATTAAGCAGTTCTGTGCAAATAAGTGACTCTGCGATATACAGGCCAAACCCCCCCCCCCCTTTTGCCTGTTCACTGTCGCATCTGTATAGGTTGTAACCTGGGATCCATATTTCGTTATCCAAGTGATCCTTTGTGGGTTTCTGTGAAAGCCGCAAACATTGCATTTGCCTCTGCAAGCAGTCCATGGATGAAAGGTATTTTGTTGTTCGTTGCTGGCTTTAGACTCTGTATATTTGCAAAGAAGAATGTCATTGGACTGGTGGTATTGGTGGTACTGGGGAGGACTCTTTCTTTTTTTTTCCAGCACTAATATTTGTATCTGTTGGTTTGGAGTGGAGGCCAACGACTGTTTACTTGGAGTTTTTTTTTCCTTCCTGGCACTAAAAAACCTCTCCCTCTTGAGTGGCTGTGGCTACCCAGGTTTTCCCATGGTCTGGATGTTTTATATCTTTTTATCCCCTTTAGATGGTATGCCTGGCAATTTAAGTTATAGCACTGCCCTGTACTGAAGAGGGACACATTTCAGGGTGAGAAAGCTTACAGGAAGGGAGTTTGCATTTTCCTGTTGTCATATGGGCACGGCATTTTCAAGGGTGGTCAAAGTTGCATGTCCCATCTGTTTTTCCAGATTTCCCATGCCTGCAGATACCAAGTGCATATTATTATTATTATAATCAAGGGGGAAGCGCTAAACCCGGAGGATTATACAGCACCTGGGGGGGGGGGATGTGGAAGGCATTCAGGCTTAATTCGGGGAACTGGAGCACAGATCTAATTCCCTAAATCAAGAGCCCCTCACCAACATCAAGGAACCTTCCTTGAGGGGACCAAGTGCATAATATGTGCACAGGTTTGGTTTCTGTTGCCTTGGGTTTTTGTGACTGTATTCCTTGTTGGTGTATGCTTTCCTGTCTCATTCCTATCCTCAGTAGTACTAACAATGGAGCTCTTGCCAGTCGTTTCTGGTAATATATCCTCACTATTACTAGTGGAATCCCCTTGTTTGCTATCTCCTGTGATATTACTAGTTTGTAATATTGGTTTTATCTTGTCCTTGACTACACTTGTTTCCCCACTACAGCTCCTGTCTCCCTCGAGGCCATTTATATTCATTCCCTCATGCATACAGTTACTGTCTACCTGGGCAGCACCTCCAGCCTCACCATTACTGTCTACCAGGACAGCACTTCCAGCCCCACATTTACTGTCTACCAGGTCAGCTCCTCCAGCCTTACAGTTTCTGATTACATGGCCAGCACCTCCAGTCATACAGTTACTGTCGGCGAGGACAGCATCTACACCAAGGGCAACACCATCCACCCCAAACTTGTTATTTTCCCATCTGTTATAGAATGCTTCCAGGTTTTCTATGAAGGCTGCTTTGATGTTATCCTCTTTGAATACCAATGTGATTTTAGTCCACAGATTGATCTCATTTGGGCATACCCAAATGTTATGTTAATCAAGGGGAAGCGCTAAACCCGGAGGATTATACAGCGCCTGGGGGGGGATGTGGAAGGCATTCAGGCTTAATTCGGGGAACTGGAGCACAGATCCAATTCCCTAAATCAAGAGCCCCTCACCAACATCAAGGAACCTTCCTTGAGGGGGGGCATACCCAAAAACACTTCCCTGATTTAATACTGCTTATAGATAATTCTTGGATATATACACAAGGGGTGTGACACCAATTTTCACAAAAGTGGCATGTAATCCATGTGGAAGCCTGTTTTTGATTTACTGCAGACTACACAGAATTTCATAATATGATTTCAATGGTTGATTTACTGTAATTCTACTAGTAACCCCTTGAATATTCTACTAATAACCTCCTTAAAGTGAAGATCTGGATATTTGTATTTCTACTTCTAACTATACTTGTATATTAGGACAAGCTTACCACTCTACGTTACTGCTTTATAGAAAAAAGCAGAGGGTTCTCTCCTACACACAACTCTGGCTTAGTTATTTCACAATGCTGTTTACAAACATACATGAACATTTTACAAGCAAGGAGGATTGTTAAGTAAAGACTGATAACACCCTCACCTCTGACCCTTAACTTTTGAATATGTAGTAGTTATAGTAATAGGAACATTATGAAAAATTGGGTAGCGCATAATTATATATTTGAAGGAAAGCAGTCAGCCTATGGGGTTGTTATTTATGTTAATGAAGGAGTTTTAACCCCACTGCCGTGGTTTGTGTGCAATCACGTTATGATTCCGTGAGTCAGGAAGTCCTAAACCTGTAGTGGTCATACAGTGCCTGGGGAATGGAAGGCATTCAGGTTTGATCCATTGAAGGGAAGGACAAGTCCAGTCTCTTGGATCAAGAGACTTGTATTTGCATCAGGGTACCTCCCTTGACAGGAAAGGGGGTTATATAGCATATAATATATTGCTTTAACTAATAGAAGGTAAGAGAATTAGGCTTGGAAAAAATACTTTAATCATTGATGTTTCTTTCCAACTTGACCATATTGTATTACATTAACTCTGCTGGTATTTCTTTAACTTCGACATTACTTAGTTCCTCTTCTCATGTAGCATCACTTTAGTCTACATGAGTAAATACTCTCACACACTTGTAACATTAAATTGGTTACCAGTGGAAATTCATCCCACTGTTGAGAATGAGGTTCAAAATTCTTTTATTCTCCAGGTACATCAACTTCAGAAGAAAAGAATGAAACTGAACTAACACACGAGGCCATTCCCTACTGGGGGATGGATGAGCTACCCATGTATGCAGTCATCCTTGCCATCATTGCTGGAATTATCTGCATACTTTTAATTACATTCTTTACTTATAAAGTATTTAAACATAGTCAGGTAAGTCTTTAGTATACTAAATGTATGCATATTTTAAAGTTAATCATTTAATAAGTAATAAAACTTGTTTATAAATGATATATTAAGAAAGTATCACTTTCAGTAAAGGAAATACTTTCTTATACTATATACATGTACATGTTTCCTTCCTGATACTAGCATGGCAAGTACAAGCTGCCTCAGCTGGCCCCTAGCCACACCTTCCACAAGACCATCATCACTGCAGAGAACCTACATGCATCCAGAAGTCAGCACAGTGAAGCTGCTGCAGATATGTATGTCACTTACAGTACATCGGAAGCCACTAAAGACAGACAGGCACTGCCCACTGTCAGTAACAAACCTCCTGACTTCTATAAATTACCTGCCAATGCACATATACCATTGGTTAACACCAGTAGGAGTTCTGAAGATTCCAACTAATGTGCATGGAATGTAGCTAATTACAAAAGGAAACAAAGGAATGAATGCATAATTCTTACGCTGGATAGTGTCTTGATTAAACAGCAGTAAATATGGCAGGATTTATTGATAAATATCAACATTAGGTGTAATATTACAGAATAATCAGTCTTGCTGTACAGACTCATTGCTCAGCATGTCATAAGTCTATTCATTTTTATGTGGATTTCATTACCTATTTCTGTCTTTAACATTAACTGTTTATACACTACTACACTCTAGAAAGGAACTCTTCATACCAGGTAAACATGCTCATATCAGTTTCCATGGGTACCTCTTGGAGCTAAACTTTACCCTTTGAATTTAGACAGTTTCTTCAAAATTTAAATTTGACAGATGAATCCTTTCCCCAGACACTGGTAATCACATCTCAAGCTTGTTCTTCCCTATTCATAGACATTTGTTGACATAACAAGTTACTACCTACAAATCAGAAATTAAAATTGTGCTATGTACAAAAAATATCAATGGATATTTATGAATATGCTATCCTACCCTATCTAGGTAATAAAAGCCCTTACTCAGTCTTTTACTGTTGGACAATCTTTATGCAGTCTTCAGCACATGGGCTTGCCTGCCTCAACTAGAAAAGTCGGGTCGGGATGTGGGGCTACAATGAATGATTTAGTCTTGTCCTGGTAATGAGCTGGGTGCTCTTAACTCCTTTCTCACCACTAACTAAAAACTCTGCAGGCTCATTTAGGTTTATATGTATAATTCCAGGGAATGAGATTATCTGGATTATTGCTGCTGCACAGTATTATATTCATGGGAGGGTCTTAAACCCATAAGGGTCAGTTTTCCAGGATATGTCTTGGGTGAGCATTAGTGCAGTGCTCTAAAAGTTGCTCATGGATTTAGTGGCAACTGCTGTTTTTTTCTAGTTTATTCATTGTCATAAATGAAATAGGAATGCAGCTAGTGCTCTTGTGTAAACAGGAAGTTTTGCTAAGCCTTACTTGGTCCATCCTGGAAGTGCCATCCTGGTGTTGTGTAACAGGTAGGGTAAGGGATGGTTTCCAAAGAACTGTACCATCTGTTACAGAGGTGACCAATGTTTGGGTATGTAGTTCCTTTTCATTTGTTCTCTGAGCTGCCTCCCCATTTTTAGCTTCATGATAATTAAGATATTAACTTATTCACCTAGATGCTAAATTATTGAGATATCCTATACCATCCCTTGCATGGCCATGGACCCTCCTCAGAAACTAAGAGGTTCCTACCTTGGCAGCTGCCAAGGTAGGAAGTCATAGTGACTAGTTAATAGTCCAAATTGGACCAAAATGTCATCAAAATTTCATTCAGCTATGTGCAGGTTTTTGAGAAAACAGTACTTTACAACAGTTTACTACAATCTGAATATAAAACAACTGTCAATCTGTAAAATTTTTTTAATATTTTAGCCCTTTAGCATGCATAAGCCTTCAATGCTATCTGCTGCCTTGTGTTGTCCTTTCAAATACACGCATACACTTGAAATATACCACATATGCTACCTCTGTTCACGTTGACTTTACGTTATTCCCTAGTTTAGGACTGAAGCATTTTTGATTGGTAGTGTACACATTAAATAGCCTTGTCAACCCTCATAAATAAGCTTCAGACCTAACAAACCAACCAACAAGTAATTGACAAATACAGTGGACCCCCGCATAACGATTACCTCCAAATGCAACCAATTATGTAAGTGTATTTATGTAAGTGCGTTTGTACGTGTATGTTTGGGGGTCTGAAATGGACTAATCTACTTCACAATATTTCTTATGGGAACAAATTCGGTCAGTACTGGCACCTGAACATACTTCAGGAGTGAAAAAATATCGTTAACCGGGGGTCCACTGTACAAGCTTATAATGAAAACAATGCATTAAAATTAAAAATATTCCCTCAATAACTTGCCAGTATCTGAAAAAGTAGAAACAAATAGGAGAGCACAAGGAATTATTATGCAACAAATTTACTTGAGAAACATTGTAGATAAAGTAACTGCAACAAATTTTCAAATAAATTCTTTCATTGTAATTTAACCCTTTCAGTTGGTTATGTAGTACTATGGTACTGAAGCCAGGATTGGTCCCGTAGTTTTACGCAGTGATCTCGACTCTCGGATAAACTGTGAATGGTAAATCTGCACCTAGAGATGAAAGAATGGGTCTATACAGTAAGTGTGCACCATATAAAAAAAATCCTGCAGCAAGCAGTGCATAATGGAGGGAGGAAAACTGTGACCATGTTTTTGGTTTAAAGCAGTGACTGTGGTGTATTTTCATGTGGTTTTTATGACTGTATTCTCAGTTTATTGGTATCATTTGATAGAATGGAAGATATAGGAACAGAGATGATCTTGACTGAGCTCAAAGTAGTAGAAATGCTAGAGTTTTGCAGATATTCCAGAGTACACAAATGACATCACTCGTCCAATATGCGTCAAATTGGCATTTGGGAATGCACTAACATCTTTTATACAATTAGTAAAATAATGCAGTAATCTGCATAACAGTAAATCTTCTATATTTGTGTTTACCTGGCCTTATGGTGGATCAGGGTCTGATCAACCAGGCTGTTACTACTGGCTGCACGCAAGCTGACGTACAAACCACAGCCCGGTTGGTCAGGTACTGACTTTAGGTGCCTGTCCAGTGCCTTCTTAAAGACAGCCAGGGGTCTATTGGTAATACCCCTTAAGTAGGCTGGGAGGCAGTTGAACAGTCTTGGACCCCGGACACTCATTGTGTTGTCTTTCAATGTACTCGTTGTGCCCGCTTTTCATTGGGGGAATGTTGCCTCTCTTGCAGAGTCTTTTGCTTTCATAGGGAGTGATTTTTGTGTGAATAAAAATTCAAAATGGAAAGTAACATAATATAAGAAAGGCCTGGGAACATAACTAATAAACAGAAGAAATGTTTTTTCAGTGTCAGGAATGTCTACATTGTTTATTCTGGACTATTCTTAAATTGGCATTGGAATTTTGTGTGAAATTGGCCAAATTACCAATTCCTAATTAATATTGGGTACTTGAAATAGGTAAATGAGTGGTTTCTTGTACTCAGTCGACAGAAGAGAAGGGATACTAGCGAAATAGCTATGAGTTTGGTCGACTGGAACAGTGGAATTAGCCAAAAATAAGGCTAAAATTAGGCAAAATCGCTGTCAATGTTGCAGAGACAACACACTGCAAGAGCGTAATTCTGTAAATTTTCTATAAAATTTCACACTTTTAGTTTCATTACCTTATGAAATGATAGAGAATCTTTTTCCAAAGTTTTTTTTTTTTTTTTAATTCAACCCTGAAAGTTTGACCTTGAAAGGCTTAAGAGGTACTACCAAATATGCCAATAGTAAATGAAGCATGATATCCCACATCACCATCCTGAACACTAGATGTTTTAAGCAGCACAAGGACTAAACAAATTTTAGATATAGAATATCAGGCAATACGAAATGCAAAAGAGCATTCGGTATATTTTTTATGAAGGTAAGAAATACAATATTTTATAATCACTATCAATTTAATAACCACAAGAGGTTTAACAATTTGATCCCTTCAAAGGATGGACGTGCTTTATGATCCAAGTGGCTTGGCGCTTCTTTTTGATTATAATAATAATAATTTATGATCCAAGGAACTAAGGCTACCCTCCTTCCACTGCAGGAATAAAGATGTATTACCACCCATTTCCCAAGTGCTGCATGACTTGTATAGGTTTAACACTTCCTCATGAATAAAATAGAAGTAAACAGTTGATAATTATTCGAAAGTTACCAATGAAAATTTGTGCCTTAAGTCTTGATTAATGAATTGTTCAAAATCAACCATTAAAAGCATAAGTTACACAGTGCTGTATGGAAAGGTGTGCAAGGTAGGGATTAGACCTAATAAATCAATTACATTTTTTTCAACGAACCGGCCATATCCCACCGAGGCTGGGTGACCTAAAAAGAAAAACAGAAGTTTATCTTTTTAGCAATTTATACAGAATGGGCTACTAACCCCTTGCTCCCTGCATTTTAGTTGCCTCTTATGACATGCATGGCTTACGGAAAAAAAAATTTTCCACTTCCCCATGGAGTCTATTACAATTATGGTATCAATTTATAACTGCCACTGACTCTCCTACAAACTAGTTTCACTTATAACTAGTACAGTACAGTATTACAAAATTTATAGCTAGATGCAAACCATGATATAAAGCTTGTGGTCCTTTGTGTGCATCAGAACACACCCTTCAAGGTCAAGCCTTGATGCTGGTGAAGGGTTCCTGATCCAAAGAATTAGAGCTAGTTTTCAGAACAACAACCTTGATTACTTTCCATTACCCAGGTGATGTATGACCCTTGTAGGTTTATTGCTTTACCATGAATATGACAATGTATATTTTAAACATTACAGTTAATCCCTTACAAAGCCAGTCTATAATGATTTTTGTAAATACATTTCAAAAATTGCATCCAAAACAGAATAACATGCACAATAAAAGACTTTTCACAAATTCAATTCTGGATTATCTTTTTCCATTGCATTTGCAAAAAAATTGCATTAAACAGAGGAGCTTTATAGGAAAGCTGACTGTATATCAAAAGTCATAAGTAACATAATATCTATAAAAGTGAAACCATGATCTTGCCAGAGTAGATTAGTATTATTTTTTTACAAAACCTATATAAAACTTTAACGTACAAAAACATCAAATACAATGTATAACCACTATTAAATGTTCCATGTTTACTCACAGCTAATCACAGGATCCTAAATATGGTTAAGATATTCTTGAATTTTCAGTTTTCTCCTACTCCATCGTTGGAGCAAGTGCTCACATCTTGGCTTGTGGCTTAAGAAGAGCCTGTAACTTCTGTGTGAGCATCATGTTACCTGAAACTTTTAATTTCCCAGACAAAAAGGCCTTTTGTGCATTTAATTTTCCAGTCACTAGAGCAACCATGTCATCATCTTCCAGAGTCAGTGTCACATTGGGCTTCTCTCCATTTCTGGGTGCTCCTTCATAGACTGACCCTGGGCCATGCTTCAAATCTAGTGCTGTAATAAGACATTTCCTCAATTAAAAACCCTCACTTGAGTTGCTATACTTACAGAAGAGTGGCAGACTACAAAAACTGTAGCAAATTTAATGAATCAATCAACAGTATATTATACTTCCTTGCTCTGAATAACTTCTCACTGGCTTGTTTCACGATTAAACAATGTTTTTATTGCCAAAAATTTTATACGAAGAATGAAGTTTGAGGATAAATGATTTAATACAACCATTTTCACACTAAGTGCCAAAGGCATGTGGGATTACAGCCCATCCTTCTAATGTCAGTATAGTATCTCACTTGGTTAATTATGTCACGTGACTGAAATTTGATAATTTGACATTGTTTTAACGTGCAATCGTTGGGTTTCTTGTTTGCTGTTCATGCTCTGAAAGCATTTTTTTTTTTAATCTCCACCTTTGTGTATTACTGCATTTATTGGGATTAGGGAATGTAATGACTGATTGAATTTTGAATATAGACAAACCTAAGCAAAACTAAATAACACAATTTTTTTTTTTAAATCACATTTGCTTTGGAAAGGCAAAGTGGGGCTGTGGGTCTTGCCCTAAATCATTGTGTACAGCCACTCCACACACCAAGTAGGGTTGCTTAATATTGAGTGTTCAAGTCAAAATTGTTTTAGCTGTGTTATATCAAATCAATAGTACTGGACAGTACATGGAAATGAATAATTTTTTAGATGCCACAAAATATGAACCATTAATACCAGTAACTTGAAATAGAACTGATAGCATTTAACTGTACTTATATTGCAAGGCTCCTGGTCCTGCCACTTGCTGGTCAATCCTTCCTACCCTCATGGCCTCTTATATCTGCTCATAAAACTGTGTGGAGACTGCCTCCACTTCAGAAAAATCATTCCATTTCTCAACCACTAATATAGGAGAGGCTTGGGGATGTGATTGTTGCTTTAGTGCCTATAATGTCTACAGTGTTTATTTTGGACTCTGTTTTTAAACTGGAATTTTTTTTAATTTTGCATAAGTGGCTAAATTACCAAATTATGTACACTTTACGAGGTATTTTGACAGTTAAGTGCATTTTCTTTTACTCACTCGATAGAATGAAAGGCATATTAATGGAATAGCTAAGAACTTAGTCAAACTGAGCACTGGAATTGGCTTAAAATAGGACTTGGAGCAGGTGATATTGTCAATGAGTAAAATGCACCCAGACCTCTAAATTTCTGCCTGTTTAATTCTGTAAGTTTTCCATAAAATTTTGTATTTTTGATATCATTACCTTCAAGAAAATATTCTCTAACATTTCAGAAGAATTTTTTTTTTTTTAATCTAGATATTGTGAGCACATTTAATTTTGGGATCTGGACAATGAAAGGGCTAAAGAAACAAAGTGAAAAAAATGCTGAAAGGGCAATGTGAAAAATAAAAATATTTCAGACCACAGAATGGAAGTGCATTCATTGGAAAAGGTCAACTCACTCTCTACTTTTTCCATTGTAGAGCAGTGATGCCTCCATCAGTATCTGAAGCCACCTAGTTTACTAGCCTATACATATTTCCAACTGGCATATTTCTAATGCACAATTGTGCTAGTAATATCCCAAAGCTTAATAATAATAATGCTTCTACAGGAATAAAGTATTTCATAATACAGCAGAATATTTATGCATTCTCTACTTACTCCACTGTGCAGCATGTGTCTTGTTCTTGTTTATATTCCACAAGAATATGGCTTTCACTTTTTCAGCTGTACCAGGAGTGTTTGCCAATCTCTGCGAAATTTCATGGAACACAGCACTACTAGATAACTGCAGAGAGATGGGAGTGGAAGTCATCCGAGAATCTTTGTCAACAATATCCACATAACCACCTGTATGAAAAAAAAATCAAAAACAAAAAACTTATTTTTAAAAATATTAAAAGCACACATGTTACAAATGTGTTTTTCTTTTTTTAACATGCTAGCCATCTCCTGAGGCAGGGTGACCCAAAACAGAAACACTTTTACCATCATTCACATGTCTGTGCATGTCTGCAAAGATATTGATTATAAGACAGTTCGGATGTCACTCCAAACATCCAACACCCCAAACCCTTCCTTTAAAGTGCAGGCATTTTACTTCCCACCTCCAGGACTCAAGTCTAGCTAACCAGTTTCCCTGAATCCCTTCACAAAATATTACCCTGCTCACACACCAACAGCTCATCAGGTCCCAAAAACCATTCACTCCTATCTAACACGCTCACGCATGCTTGCTGAAAGTCCAAGCCCCTCGCCCACAAAAGCTCCTTTATCCCCTCCCTCCAACCTTTCGGGGACAACCCATACTCCGCCTTCCTTTCCCTACAGATTTATATGCTCTCTAAATCATTCTATTTTGTTCCATTCTCTATAAATGATCAAATCATCTCAACAGCCCTCTTAACGAATACTTTTAGTAACTCAACACTGCCTCCTAATTTCCACACTACGAATTCTCTGCGTAATATTTACACCACACATTGCCCTTCGACACATCACTGCCTCCAGCCGCCTCCTCGCTGCAGCATTTACAACCCGTGCTTCACACTGATATAAGAGAATTGATACCACTATACTCTCGTACATTCCCTTCTTTGCCTCCATGGATAATGTTGTCTCCACAGATACCTTGCTGCACTACTTGCCTTTTTTTCTTCATCAATTCTATGGTTTACCTCATCCTTCATAAACTCATTCACTGACAAGTCAACTCCCAAATATCTGAAAACATTCACTTCTTCCATATTCCCTCCCTCCAATGTAATATCCAATTTTTCTTTATCTAAATTGTTTGATACCCTCATCACTTTACTCTTATCTATATTCACTTTCAACTTTCTACCTTTACACACCCTGTAACAATATACGTGTATTAACAATATATGTATGTACTAGGAAAATATAAAGAAAAATGAAAACATGCATAATTCAGTAGAAAAGCCAAGTTAGTGGATAAAGAAAATAAGAATTGCAGGAATTGTCAGACTTTCAATAACACAGAAACACTTCTAGCATACCTGTGAGACAAGCTTGTTTTGTTTCCTTAACAGTGCAAGTAAAGAAAATTCGTGAGCCTTCTTTCCACATGTCCACCACAAGCGTCTGACCTGGGATCACTGATCTGGCAAAACGGGTCTACAAAGAAAAATATTACATTTTTAATATGTTCGTCTAAACAAACAAGCACAAAACTTATAGAAAATTAAAAATTTAATAAGAAACTTTCTTATTACATAATCAAACACCTACTTCCAAGATTAGGAATAAAAATAAATTGGTTACTACAGTAAAATTTGTACTAAAAGAGATAAGAAGGTTGTGGAGATGTCCTCTGAACCTTCTTGCCTACTCCTAGCCCATCCCTTGAGTATGACCTATTAAACTAGATAGACTAAACATTTAAAATTGAGGACAATCTAAATTTATTTAAATTCAGTAACATACTGGTGAAGCTGTTTAAGATACCCACAAGGCAATCAACATCTTGAGTACACACTATTATGAAGAAATCCTTTAGCTTTTAAAGAGGGTATAGAACATATCTCCATCAGGTCAGCTGCTGTCAGTGCCAAGACTTATTTCCCCTAGTTCATTATCTGATTAAGATAATAAAAAATTAAGAAGCACATCTTCTGACAAGAACCTGAAGATGTGCTGTTTCTCTGGGTCAACAACTAATTGAGACCAATGCTAGAAGAAACTGTGTTGTTTCCTTAAGATGAGATTTGTTCGGAATTTTAACCCAGAGGGTTAGCCACCGAGAACAACCCAAGAAAATAAGTGCATCACTGAGGACTGTATCCTATTTCCATTGTGGTCCTTCAATCTTGTTTCCCAGGAAGTGACCCATACTAGTCAACTAACACCTAGGCACCTACTTACTGCTAGGTGAACAGGGATAGCAGGTTTAAGGAAATATGCCCATTGTTTCCACCCATGCTGTGGATTGAGCCATGGACACTCAGTGTGTGAGGTGAGAGCATTGCCAACTAATGCTGTGTTGTTACCTTAGGTCAACATATGATTAAGACCTGTGTCAGAAGACACTGTATTGTTTACTTGGGTTAACATCTGACTAAAACCAGTGTCAGAAGATTCTGTATTGTTTCCTGATAAATAAGCTATCACCACATAAATTACAATCATGAGACATGAATTAAATGTAAATAATTCTTCTAACAGTGACATACCTCCCATTAACCATCATCAGCGTTAGTTCATTCACTTTCACTTCTCTCTCACCCTGTAGCACTTCATCATAATCTTTTCCTTATTCCTTCATTTCTTTATAAAAACATTGCCATCCAGAAGTCAACCAATTAGACTTTTAGCTTCCAATACATATTAGAGTCTAGTAAACCACTGTAATTGTTCATTTCGGCCATCTCCCACCTAGGCAGGGTGACCCGAAAAGAAAATCCCCAAAAAGAAAATACTTTCATCATCATTCAACACTTTCACCTCACTCATACATAATCACTCTTTTTGCAGAGGTGCCCAGATACAACAGTTTAGAAGCATATATAAAGATACACCTACCATCCGACTTACGACCGTGTTTTTTATGCCAAATTTCTGGGAAATAAACAACTATTTGTGTTGTACACAGTGTTTATCCTAAACTTTACAGCAGTGGTTCCCAAACTGGGGGTAAATTACCCCCTGGGGGTAATTTAACCATTTTTGGGGGGTAATGGAGGGGTGACAGAAAAAAAAGTTATGAATTCTGAAAATCAAGAAAACAATGCGGTACCCGGTATGAGGATTATTGTTAACTTTGTCTTAGTATATAAAGTTGTAAAGTAAACCTATTATAAGTAAGTAATAAAGTTAAACCAAATAACAATAAACATCAAAAACTAATATACAGTATTAGAAAAGAAGAAATATATAGCTAAGTGTGTGGAAACCCAAAAGTATTTTGACAAGTATGCTTCAGGACAAAAGTCACTCAGTAGCCCAGATCGACCTGTCCAGTACGCGTCACTCACTTCCTGAGGCTGCCTCTCAACAACGTATCTGTGCGAGAAGGGCTTCTCAACTGTGCTGGGTATGAAAACAAAAAAGAGGACTCGCTTGAATGTTGCAAACGATGCCAGGCTGGCACTTTCAACCACGAAGCCAAGAATTCCTAAACTAGCTTCAAGTATGCAACTCCATCCATCCCACTGATGTTCTTGACATCTTTGGTAATAGTCATTAGAGATGCACAATGTTCAAATACAATAAATAAAAGAAAATATCTCAAGTGTTTTAATTTAGCCATATATATCAATAATAACAACATTTTGTGAAAGGGGTAACATGCTTTATGTGGCATGTTAAATTGAGTAACAAGCTGAAAAAGTTTGGGAACCACTGCCTTACAGTATAAAATACAGTACTAACAGCATAAAAAGTAAAGTAAAACATGAAATACCAAAATAAAACAATAAAATAAAGTCATTACAAAAATGTTTTGTTGATATTCAGTAGTAAAGTTCGACTTACGACCATTTCGACTTACGACCGGTTTCTCGGAACCGAACTCGGTCGTAAGCCGGATGGTAGGTGTATATAACATATCCCTCCAAACTGCCAATATCCCAAACCCCTTCTTTAAAGTGCAGACATTGTACTTCCCATTTCCAGTACTCAAGTCTGGCTATATAAAAATAATCAGGTTCCCTGAATCCATTCACCAAATATTACCCTGCTCACACTCCAACAGCTTGTCAGGTCCCATACTTTCCATCTCCCACTGAGGCAGGGTGACCCAAAAAAGAAACACTCACCATCATTCAAATCTTTAACCCTCAACACTTTCACCATCATTGACACAATAACTGTCTTTGCAGAGGCACTCAGATACAACAGTTCAGGTGTCACTCCAAACCACAAATATCCCAAAACCCTCCTTTAAACTGCAGGCATTGTACAGTGGACCCCCGCCTTACGATATTAATCCGTTCCTGAGAGCTCATCGTATGCCGAAATTATCGTTAGCCAAATTAATTTTCCCCATAAGAAAAAACGGAAATCAAATTAATCAGTTTCTGACAACCCAAAGTATGAAAAAAAAAAAATTATCACATGAAATATTAGTTTTAATACACACAAACTGAAGAAGACATGCACAATTACTACTCAACTAAGAATAGAATACATGACACTTACCTTTATTGAAGATTTGGTGATGATTGATGGGATGGGAGGAGGGGAGAGTGTGGAAGTTATTGTTTAGAAGAGGAATCCCCTTCCATTAGGACTTGAGGTAGCAAGTCCTTTTCCGGGGTTACTTCCCTTCTTCTTTTAATGCCACTAGGACCAGCTTGAGAGTCACTGGACCTCTGTCACACAACAAATCTGTCCATACAGCTCTGTACCTCCCGTTCCTTTAACCCTTTGAGGGTCGACAGGCCCTCTCCGAGATTTGTTCTCAGGGTCGGCCAAATTTAAAAAAAAAAAATATTTTTTCTTATGAAAAGATAGAGAATCTTTTCCTGGTCATAATGACACCAAAAGTATGAAATTTGATGGAAAACTTGCGGAATTATGCTCTCGCGAAGTTAGCGGTCTCGACGATGTTTACGCATCGGCGATTTTGCCCACTTTGAGCCCTATTTTCGGCCAATTCCAGTGTACTAGTCAACAAAAATCATAACTATCTCTCTAGAACTCCATTTTTTTCTATTGAATGAGTACAAGAAACCACCCATTTACCAATTTCAACTATCCAATACAGTGGTCAGAATTTAGCAATTTTGCCAATTTCACACAAATTTCAAAAGATGCCAATTTCCAAATAGGGTCCAGAATAAACAAGAAAGACATTCCTGGCACTAAAATAACATTTCCTCTGTTTGTTAGTCACATCCCCAGGCCCCTCTTATATTTCTTTGGCTTTCCACTTTCAATTTTTATTCTTACAAAAAATAGAAGATTTACTGTTATGCAGACTGCTGCATTAGTGTAGAAATGGTATAAATAATATCAGCGCACTTGTGAAAGAATATTAGACTCACCAGTTGACGTGTATTGGACGCTTGGCATGATTTGTTTACTTTTGAACTTTGGTAAAAATCGAACATTTCTGCTACTTTGCGCTCAATTTCAAGGTACTTTTCATTGTAAAACCAGTCAAAATCATCTCAATTTCTGTAATATGTCTTCCATTCTATAAAATGAGACCAAGAAAACTAGAATACAACAATGAATATCATACGAAAATACAGTGCAAAGTCGCTGTTTTATTCCAAAAACACGGTCAAAGTTTTTCTTTTCTCATTATGTACTGTGCACTGCAGGATTTTTTTTATACTGCACACACTGACCACATAGACCCATTCTTTCATATGTATGCCTACCAGCTTTCTCCCACTAGATTTGAGGGCGCTAGAATTTAGGCGTACTAGTACGTCAAAAACCCTGGGTCGTAAGCCGTACTAGTACGGCCAAAACCCTCAAAGGGTTAAGACTTTCCTAAAATGGGCCATAATATTGTCATTGTACAGGTTGCCAACACGGCTTGCAGTAGCTGTGTCTAGTTCAACCCACTTTGCACACATTTCCTTAATCTCTTTTTTCAATTCCATACTAATTCTCGCCCTTTTTACCACAGGGATGACACTAGAAGCTTTCTTGAGGTCCATGGGGACATATTTTGCAGTTACAAGCACTAAAAACACTGGAATAATGTGAAATGTACCGAATGAATGCGTAGATGCAACCGCACTGGCTGGCTGGTAAACACTGGCGCTGAGGCCACACGTGGGATGCGTCCCGGACGAATCACGTAAGGCAAGTTTTTTATCGTGAGGTGAGGCAAAAGTTTTGTGTTCAAATGCTTCGTATGGCGGATTTAACGTAACATGATGCGTTCGTAAGGCAGGGGTCCACTGTACTTCCCACCTCCAGGACTCAAATCCTTTACTTTTAAACACTGACTTTTTCCAACAAACTGGCAATACCCCACTGAGGTAGGGTGACCTAAAAAGACAAATCAAAGCCTCTCTTTTTAAATTTAATAATTTTTACAGGAGAAAGGGTTACTAGCCCCTTGCTACCGGTATTTTAGTTGCCTCTTATGAGATGCGTGGCTTATGGAAGAATTCTTTTCCACTTCCCCACATAGATCATCTGTCATACTTATATTTATTTTCATACCCATGACAATATATTTTACCTGCCTCATTCATCCCAAACAGTATAGTGTATTCATTCAGTAATTATTTTGACACCTTGTTATGATTTTGTCTCCAAATAATAGATTACAGCTTGTGAAGGTATACTGCATTCAACTGTTAAATCAGTTTTTCTTAAAACACTAAACATCTTCCACCAAGGCAGGCGACCCAAAAAAGATACACTTTCACCAGCATTCACATTATCACTGTCTTGCCAGAGGTGCACGTAGTGTGAGTGATAGTAAAAGCACTATCTATTACTGTCTTGCTAGAGACATGTATAGTGTGAATGATGGTGAAAGTGTTTCTTTTTCGGGTCACCCTGCCTTGGTGAGAGACGGCCAGTGTGCTAAAAAAAAAAAAAAATTAGTTTTTATAAGTTGAATGCAGTATACATTTTATATAAACAATTTAAAGTAAGTAATAATCTGCATTTATAATGGGCTATTATTTCACCATCTTTAAAAAAGATAAAAGTCATATTAAATTATCCCCACTCAAATCCATACATCTCAATTAATGCTGTTGCAAAACATTAACAAATAAAATCAAACATACCTTCATGGCCTTAAATAACTTTGCATCATTTTTACAAAAGTTCTTCAGAATTATTCGAGCAGCAATACCAAAGAAACAAAGTCCATGAAGGATAGGCTGACTAAAACCACCCATAGCAGCAAAGGCAGGATCAATGTGAAGTGGATTACGGTCCCCATTGAGCCGGTACAGAGCAGCCTGAAATATTAAATAATCACTAATTTATGCTGTGTGTTTTATATTTATTGACAACTGACTATACAGCATAATAGAAAAACACGCCAGGTAAGGGGCTTGCAAATGAGAAATGTAGATCACATTTTGAAAAACACGTATAATAATTTCATATTTATGAATAAAGAACTTTCCTCATACACTAAAGAGACTCATAGCGATATCACACATTGTATTTTCAATATAAATTGAGCATTTGTGCCATAAAATTCTAAAAATATGGCAGTTCAGCCATGCACTCCAGTAAGAGATGGTATCATGCAGATTAGGGACCTCACCCTCCAATATCTTCTAGGTGTCTATTATCAGATATCTCTCTCTCTCTTTGTCCCAGAGAGTACCTTCCAAGTACTTTGAGGCATTCTCAGTAGTTTAAATGCTTTATTGACTAGATGTGGACACTAAATGATCTCTACATTTTCTTGCTCTGATATTTCTCCTGCCTTGAACAGAGCTGTGAGAACAGCAATATTCCAGACCTAAGAGCACAAGTAACTTAAACAATAACATCACTGCTGCTATTTCTCTTGTGCTGAAGGTTCTCGTTGTCCACCCTGTCATTATTCTGGCCTTTACTGCATTTACGTTAGTATTCTCAAAATGACAATCAACTAACATTATTATTCCTAACATTATTATTCTTTTTACATAAGCTTCTTATGGTCTATGAGACGGCCTGTTTGTGTTCTGCATTCTGTGTTTATTCTGAATTTTTTATTTCCTATATCTAAGAAAAAAAAAAGTCACTGCTGAATATCATGTGTTTTCTCATTTCTTCAAACATGATACCATAAAATAATTACCATACCTGATCAATGTCTGTCTTGAACTCTTCTGTGGCATCTGGGCTTCTCTTGGGAGCATCATACAGAGGTACAGCCTTTGTGCTCTTCCTTGGACCTCCAAAATTTCCTTCCCCAACTATAAACAATGACCACTGTGCCCAAGACACTGGATCACCTTTTTCATCTTTCGTCAATGCTGTAAGAGAGAACTGGCAAGTCAGATTTTATACTTTAGTACAATACCACCCCTCCAGCATGTAAAACAAGCACAACTGCTTTAATAAACCAAATTATAAAAAATTATTGACTTTTTTGTTAACACATCGGCCATTTCCCACCAAAGCAGGGTGACCCGAAAAAGAAGAACCACTTTCATCATCATTCACTCCATCACTGTCTTGCCAGAGGCATGCCTACAGTACAGTACAGTTAAAAAAAACTGCAACATATCAACACCCCTCCTTCAGAGTCCTAAATCTTAAGTATTTGAATAATATAAGAAAATAAACAGATTAAAAGCCAAAAACAAAAAGTAGTAAAAAAATTTCATTTTTCCTTGTTACTTTCACACAAAATCTGCATGTAAATTGCATGGAGCTTCTAAACAGGTTAAGTTGAACATGTGATATGTCAAAGAGATACTTGTTCCTTGTGTTGTGTCTGTGTGCTCTGTTGCAACTTTCCAATGTTAAAGTGTACTGTAAATATACAGTAGGGCCCTGCTTTACGGCGTTCCGCTAATACGGTTATTTCAAATTATGACCAAAACTCTCTATATAGCTCCCTCCACCTGACTTTCTAATACGGTCACTGTGCCCCACCCGGTTTGTTTACATTCTATGTGAGATCCATAAGCACTAAGTCTCTCCATTATGTCTGGAAACTCCAAAATTTCAAGTGTTTTTAAAAGTTATTTCATATTTTATATATACTCTGATAATTATACTTATGTATACCTGTACCTAAATAAACTTACACACTGTGCTGGTGTGCAGGTACACATTAAAATCAGTAAGAGTGTCTTATGTCTCGAGACACCATATTAGTAATGATGATAATAATAATAATAATAATAATCACCAAGTCTCATTAAATGTCGTATATTACGTTAATACACATTTTTTCATTAATCCATTTATAATGGGTAACTGTAGAAAATTATTCCTTTCGTATGTATGTAAGTTTATTTAGGTATACACAAATACAGTTATACAGATTATCATACATAGCAGAAAATGTTTAAAGTACCTAGGATAACCCAAAAAAAAGTCCGTGTGGCTTATTTCCATTGCCTTCACTCAGAGCTTCATTTCTTCTAAAAATGGTGTTACATGAGAACGGAAGTGTTCCTCTTTATTTATTCCTCCATATCAATGTAGAGACAGCTTGTACACAATGTAGAGACAACCTGTACACAACTTGTACACAACGTAGAGACAACTTTTACACAAACCAGACGGGTACACTGTTTACAAAACTTACATTTGCCTGGTTTGGTAACATAACTCTGCACCTGTCCTCCCTCATGCACTCATTCTCTCTCTCATTTATTCATTTTATCTTGTTTACTCACCTTTAACCCTACATTAAGACTACAAATATTTTAACCCTTTGACTGTCGCGGCCATATATATACGTTTGTGAGGTACCGTGTTTGACGTATATATACTCATAAATTCTAGCGGCTTCAAATCAGGCAGGAGAAAGCTAGTAGGCCCACATGTGAGAGAATGGGTCTGTGTGGTCAGTGTGCACCACATAAAAAAAATCCTGGAGCACGCAGTGCATAATGAGAAAAAAAAAACTCCGACCGTTTTTTTTAATTAAAATGCCGACTTTGTGGTCTATTTTCGTATAGTATTTGTGGTTGTATTCTCGTTTTCATTGTCTCATTTGATAGAATGGAAACTATATTATAGAAATGGAGGTGATTTTGATTAATTTTACTATAAAAAGAACCTGGAAATGGAGCACAAAGTACAGGAAATGTTTGATTTTTGCCGATTTTCAAAAGTAAACAAATGATGTCATTGTCCAATAAATGTCCAAATAGCCATTCTAATACGCAGTCATGAATGGGTTGATGTAATTTTTACAATTATTACAGTATTGCAATAGTCTGCATAACAGTAAATCTTCTATTTTTTGTTTGAATAAAATTTCAAAATAAAAAGCAAGAGTAATATCACAGGGACCTGGAGACATGACTGATGAACAAAGAAAATCTTATTTTAGAGCCAGGAATGTCTGCATTGTTCATTCTGGACCTTATTTTGAAATTGTCGTATTTTTTAATTTTCGTGAAATTGGCCAAATTGCAAATTTCTGACCATGTTATTGGGTAGTTGAAATCGGTAAATGGGCAGTTTCTTGTGCTCAATCGATAGAAAAAATAGAGTTCTGAAGAAATAGTTACGAGTTTGGTTGACTGGAATAACGGAATTAGCCGAAAATAGGGCTCAAAGTGGGCGAAATTGCCGATTTTTAAATATCGCCGAAGTCGCTAACTTCGCGAGAGCGTAATTCCGTCAGTTTTCCATCAAATTTCGTTTTTTTGGTGTCTTTACAATCGGGAAAAGATTCTCTATCATTTCATAAGAAAAAATAATTTATTTTTTTTTCGAATATTTTGCGACACCAGGAGCAACTTCAGGATTGGGCCCTTCGACAGTTAAAGGGTTAAGGTAAGTAATGAGTGAACTGTATATGCATTTTATCACTTTGGGATGCTTAAATGTCATAGAATATTATGTGTGGGTGGGGTTGCCTGGTATGGTAGCCTGGCTGGCTACAATAAATACTACTCATCTCACCCTAGATTAAGACTACAAATATTTTAAGGTAAGTAATGAGTGTACTATATGTGTATTTTACTTTTTTATTGTTTTTAATGCCTAGTTCTATTGCTAACTTAATATATGTTAGTGTAAACTTGTTATCTAGTATTTACATGCATTTATAAGTGGAAAAAAAGGGTGTTCCACTTTACGGCGATTTCCGCTTTATGGCGGTAACCTGGAACCTAACCTGCTGTATAAGTGAGGCCCTACTGTAGTGTGAATATTCTGAACATTGAGCAGACTGCAACTGTTGAATAGAAGGGGGCAAGTGTTGCCTAGAAACCTGATTGACTGATCATTCAAAAAGCATATTTTTGTTGAGTAACAACAGGTTTATGATAATCTGCTGTTATAGATTCCCATGTGCAAATGCCACAAGTGAGGTAAGGGTAGATTAAAAAGCAGTAAATGGTAAGTAATGATAATTAAGGCACAATGCAGCATATTTAAAAAAAAAATACTCACTGTCTTAGCCTAAATATTTTCCTAAGAGATGACTGGGATGTGCGAGCTGAAAGTTTATCTTGCTGTCAATCTGTATACCTAGGAATTTACACTAGTCTTTCAGTGCATGTATTATTAATCAGAATGTTAAATTAATATTTTTATCTTTGTCCCAAACACTATGTGGAAGGTCTTGTCAGTACTGAGTGTTTGTTCATAGTCAGCCAGGTAGATATCTTTTCAAGCTCAGGTGTGTGTGTGTTTTTGTCATCATCCAGGTAAATATCTTTTCAAGATCAGCATTGATGTATTTTTGAAGACAACTGGCTCTGCATTTGAGATGACAAGTTATGTCATCTGTGACTAGATTTGGTTTAAGTTCCTGCAAGGCACTGGGAAGGTAACTGATGTAAATGAGGAATGGTGGAAGGCTGAGGACACTGCCCCGTGGAACCCCTATGTTGATTGGAAGAGCATGTGCAACACTGTCTTTCACAGCCACATGTTTCTACCTACTGCTGGGGTCTACTGTAGGTATGAATTCATGGACTGATTTAAATACAGCATTATTTTTTTCTCAAAAATGTTTAATAATAGCCTGTTAGAAATTGGCCTATAATTAAAGATTTCTGTTTGACCACCACTTTTGAAGATTAGGATAACTCTTGAAGGGATAAATACATTAGGGAATGTTTTGAAGCTATATCAAGCCAACAAAAAAAATACTATTACTATATCAAAACTTACTATTAGAGATGAGGACAGCTCCAGAGCCCTTGTCTAAAACATCCACCACCTTCAGTTCTGTGTATAAAGTGGCACTTGTTGGCAGGGGTTTGATGTTTTCTATGTACATTTCTCCATGAAGAAGCTGAAATGAAAAATTCTTGGTACTCTTCAACAGAAACTTAACTGCTGTATTTCAGTTTGTAAATGAGAATTAATCAGTATGAAGCCCAGGTTGAATTGTACAGCATCAGGGAAAATTTATATGTTGTTTAGCACTGAAAATTCAAGTCATTTGAGGCCAGAGTCATTTTTGAACTTATGATCCATCCTGCCTAACCCATGCAAATATGAAAAGAGAAAATTTCAAGGAATATTTCCTACAATAAGGCATTACATTACAAACCAAAGAATACCATATCAATGACAGAGTACCAAAACAGACCTGTCACTTTTCTTTGAAGCAGCCAAGTCCACATTTTCAAAGCTCGACTGAACAGGTATTTCCTTCTTATAATGTTTCATGTTTTAACCCTTTCAGGGTCGGCAGGCCCTCTCTTGAACTTGTTCTCAGGGTTGGAAATTTTTCGAAAAAAAAAAATTATTTTTTCTTATGAAATTATAGAGAATCTTTTCCCAATCATAATGACACCAAAAGTATGAAATTTGATGGAAAACTTATGGAATTATGCTCTCGTGAAGTTAGAGGTCTCGACGATGTTTATGCATCAGCGATTTCGCCCACTTTGAGCCCTATTTTCAGCCAATTCCAATGTGCCAGTCGACAAAAATCATAACTATTTTGCTAGAACTCCATTTTTTCTATTGAATGAGTACAAGAAACCACCCATTTATTGATTTCAACTATCCAATAAAGTGGTCAGAGATTGGCAATTTTGCCAGTTTCACACAAATTTCAAAAGCCGCCAATTTCCAAATAGGGTCCAGAATAAACAAGACAGACATTCCTGGCACTAAAATAACATTTTTTCTGTTCATTAGTCACGTCCCCAGGCCTCTCTTACATTTCTTTTGCTTTCCACTTTGAATTTTTATTCTCACAAAAAAAATAGAAGATTTACTGTTATGCAGACTACTGCATTAGTGTAGAAATGGTATAAATAATATCTGCGCACTTGTGAAAGAATATCAGACTCACCAGTTGATGTGTATTGGACACTTGGCATGATTTGTTTACTTTTGAACTTTGGCAAAAATCGAACATTTCTGCTACTTTGAGCTCAATTTCAAGGTACTTTTCATTGTGAAACCAATCAAAATCATCTCAATTTCTGTAATATGTCTTCCATTCTATAAAATGAGACCAAGAAAACTAGAATATAACCATAAATAGCATACGAAAATACACTGCAAAATCGCTGTTTTAAAGCAAAAAACACGGTCGGAGTTTTTTTTTTCTCATTATGCACCGTGTGCTGCAGGATTTTTTTTATACTGTGCACAATGACCACATAGACCCATTCTTTCATATGTAGGCCTACCAGCTTTCTCTGGCTAGATTTGAAGGCACTAGAATTTATGCGTACTAATACGGCACTAACCCTGGCGTGCAAGCCGTACTAGTACGGCACCAACCCTGAAAGGGTTAAACAATGATCTTTCAGAATACTATATTTATTTGTATACAGAAAGCTAAATTCAATCTGATAATGTACACCTTCTCAAATTAAAACCTGAAAAATATTCTAAATACTGTATAATGAAACAAAAGACTACATCTACTCTACTGTCTGACCACTAATATATGCAAGCATGTCAGTTGCCACCAATGAGATTCATTGTACTTCAATGGACATTATTATAGGAGCATAATCCCAAATCACCAGGCATGTCCTCTATCTCCATATACATACTTATGCATGCATTACTAGTAAGGATCCCATTACCAGATGTGCATAAATTCTAATGCAAGATATTAATATGCCAGTATCAAGCCTCATGCATACACTTGTGGAAATAACATACATAAAATTGTTTCACAGTAATTTAGCTCAGAGACTTTCATCACTATCATCATAGTGTATCCGTAATAATACTTCAACATTTATTTTAACGTGTCAGCCATCCCCCACCAAGGCAGGTGAAACATTTTCACTATCATTCAACACTTTCACCATCATTCACACAATCATTGTCTTTGAAGGGGCACTCAGATACAACAGTTTAGGTGTCACTCCAAACAGTAAATATCCCAAACCCTCCTTTAAAGTGCAGGCATTGTATTTCCCACCTCCAGGATTCAAGTCTGGCTAACTGGTTTCCCTGAATCCCTTCACAAAATATTACCCTACTCACACTCCAACAGAATGTCAAGTCCCAAAAACCATTCATCTCCAATCACTCCTATCTAACACACTCACACATGCCTGCTGTATGTCCAAATCCATTGCACACAAAACCTCTTTTACACCTTCCCTCCATCCTTCCCTAGGATGTCCATTGCTCCTGACATTTGAGTTGACTTTCACAACATGCATGGCTTATGGAGAAAAGATTCTTATTTCACTTCCCCATGGATATGAGAGGGAAATAATGAGAACAAGAACTATTAAGAAAAAATCAAAGAAAACTTAGATGAGTGCATATACATAAACATGTACATGCATGTGTAGTGTGACCTAATGTAAGTAAAAGTATCAAGGTATACCCGTTATCATGTGTGTTTACAAGACAGAAAAAAGTCATCAGCTCTCCTACCCTCATGTAAAACAAATACAGGTTTCCGTCTTTCACTCATCTGGACCCTGGGTGGTTGCTGTCTACCAACCTACTACAACAGGATGGTAGTACCTCACTGGGTGGTTGCTGTCTACCAACCTACTACAACAGGATGGTAGTACCTCACTGGGTGGTTGCTGTCTACCAACCTACTACAACAGGATGGTAGTACCTCACTGGGTGGTTGCTGTCTACCAACCTACTACAACAGGATGGTAGTACCTCACTGGATGGTTGCTGTCTACCAACCTACTACAACAGGATGGTAGTACCTCACTGGGTGGTTGCTGTCTACCAACCTACTACAACAGGATGGTAGTACCTCACTGGGTGGTTGCTGTCTACCAACCTACTACAACAGGATGGTAGTACCTCACTGGGTGGTTGCTGTCTACCAACCTACTACAACAGGATGGTAGTACCTCACTGGGTGGTTGCTGTCTACCAACCTACTACAACAGGATGGTAGTACCTCACTGGGTGGTTGCTGTCTACCAACCTACTACAACAGGATGGTAGTACCTCACTGGATGGTTGCTGTCTACCAACCTACTACAACAGGATGGTAGTACCTCACTGGGTGGTTGCTGTCTACCAACCTACTACAACAGGATGGTAGTACCTCACTGGGTGGTTGCTGTCTACCAACCTACTACAACAGGATGGTAGTACCTCACTGGGTGGTTGCTGTCTACCAACCTACTACAACAGGATGGTAGTACCTCACTGGGTGGTTGCTGTCTACCAACCTACTACAACAGGATGGTAGTACCTCACTGGGTGGTTGCTGTCTACCAACCTACTACAACAGGATGGTAGTACCTCACTGGGTGGTTGCTGTCTACCAACCTACTACAACAGGATGGTAGTACCTCACTGGATGGTTGCTGTCTACCAACCTACTACAACAGGATGGTAGTACCTCACTGGGTGGTTGCTGTCTACCAACCTACTACAACAGGATGGTAGTACCTCACTGGGTGGTTGCTGTCTACCAACCTACTACAACAGGATGGTAGTACCTCACTGGGTGGTTGCTGTCTACCAACCTACTACAACAGGATGGTAGTACCTCACTGGGTGGTTGCTGTCTACCAACCTACTACAACAGGATGGTAGTACCTCACTGGGTGGTTGCTGTCTACCAACCTACTACAACAGGATGGTAGTACCTCACTGGGTGGTTGCTGTCTACCAACCTACTACAACAGGATGGTAGTACCTCACTGGGTGGTTGCTGTCTACCAACCTACTACAACAGGATGGTAGTACCTCACTGGGTGGTTGCTGTCTACCAACCTACTACAACAGGATGGTAGTACCTCACTGGGTGGTTGCTGTCTACCAACCTACTACAACAGGATGGTAGTACCTCACTGGGTGGTTGCTGTCTACCAACCTACTACAACAGGATGGTAGTACCTCACTGGGTGGTTGCTGTCTACCAACATGCTACACATTAGACTATATTTATTATTACTACTTTATTGGTATATAAAATGCACATCTTTTCCCATCTCTAGCATAAACACTCCATGGGAGACATTGTTGAGGTCTTCCCTGATATTTCCTTAATGTCATACAGTGGACCCCCGGTTAACGATATTTTTTCACTCCGTAAGTATGTTCAGGTGCCAGTACTGACCGAATTTGTTCCCATAAGGAATATTGTGAAGTAGATTAGTCCATTTCAGACCCCCAAACATACACGTACAAATGCACTTACATAAATACACTTACATAATTGGTCGCATTCGGAGGTGATCGTTATGCGGGGGTCCACTGTACTGATAAGCGTAGGTTTCACTTTAAAATTCCTGATAACAACTATATTTTCACTTTACATGCTTTGTACATCATCCCAATCTTAGCAGATGTTTCACTTTACAGTGATTTTCACTGTCGAGTGAAAGAGTGGCAGCCCAGAACCTAACCAACTGTATAAGAGGGGTCTACCTGTTTAAAGTACCAGAGTGATATTTAAACATTGTATTGATGATCAATTACCAAGAGAGAGAGTAATGAGGAAGCTTTTGTTACAGGTGCACAAGAACTGCTCAAAGAATGGGGATGGATTGATATTATCTCGCATTATTTTACCTCATAAAAGAAAGCCTTTTAAAGGAAATGATCAGCCTTTTTTAAATTAGTGGTCACCATTTTCTTAACGGGAGGCAGCAGGTTGGTAGACAGCAACCACCCAGGGAAGTACCGTCCTGCCAAGTGAGTGTGAAACGGAAACCTGTAATTGTTTTACATGATGGTAGGATTGCTGGTATCTTAACTGTCTCATTAACATACAAGGCTTCAGGTACATCCTGCTACTTCTACTTACACTTAAGTCACACTACAAGTGCATGTACAAGCATATACATACCAACTCCTCTAGATTTTCTTCTATTTTCTTACTAGTTCTTGTTCTTGTTTATTTCCACTTATCTCCAAGAGGAAGTGAAACAGAATTCTTCCTATGTAAGCCATGCGTGTCGTCAGAAGTGACTAAAATGCCAGGAGCCAGAGGCTAGTAACCCCTTCTGTATATATTACTAAATTTAAAAAGAGTAACTTTCGTTTTTCTTTTTGAGCTACAAATGGTTTGTTGAAAGATAATTTCTCTTAATGTCAGGTAATGATAATTGGAAACTTTATTAAATTTGCACAAAACATAGAAAATTAACAACACCCATTCTGAGGAATTAGTGCTACTTTTAAGGTCCATCCATAATTTTAACTTGAAGAGGAATTACATAAATGTTTAGAGAATTTAGAGCCAAGACATTGTAAGACAGGTTGAATCACTTCTTGTAAACAACAATGAGGAACATTTAGTTGAGTTTTCTTTAAATAGCAGAATAACAATATGTAATTTATGTTTTAAAAATAAAAACATACACATGTTTATGATGTAACATGAAGCATGTAGTGATAATTAGAGCAGTCTGCTTGAGAATGTATGAGTACAGTAGATAAATGCTTGATGCTTAGACTTAGTTGCACATGAATTGTTTAAAAATATTCAGTAGTAGAAAGTATAGGTAGAATGGCAAAATACATTTTTTTGTTTAATCACACTGGCCACTTCTCACCCAGGTGGGATGACCCCCAAAAAAAAGCAAATTCACCATTATTCAAACTGGCTGCTTTGCCAGAAGTGTGAAAACATCATATTTAAATGACTCTCCAAACGGCAACATGCTCACGCATCCTGCTTACCTTTGTAAAATCAACCGACCAGCCAGGAATCTGACTCCAGAGTTCTCCACCCATCATGGTGGCTTGTGATGGCACAATACCAAAGGTTGGTAATGGAGAAAAGTCCTCACTGTTCTCATACAAGAACTGAAGACCATTCTCATCCTCAGTAGACACACCAACTGCAAAATCAGTTGCACTTACTGTATAACAAATGCAACTACCTCTTGTGTAATAAAATGTCATAAATTAACATTTGTTTCCCTGTGGTCAGTTTCAAGTTTTTTCAATTCTCTTCATCCACCCAGAAGCTGCACTCTTCAGCCAGGATGTTGTTCCTTATACACTACACACTTAAACAGTCATCACAAGCTGTTTTCAGCAATTTAATAAACTCCACTTTTAATGGGTTGCAGTTTAAAAAATAAATAAAAAAACCTGTAGAGATATTCCAGTTATGAGCCTTATAAAAATTCATACAGCATAACGTTTATTTTTTACCTCCAAGGCCATCTCCCACAGAGGCAAGGTGATGCAATGAAGGAACACATTCCCAACATTAATTCGCAGCATTTTTCAGATGTAAATTTGTTTTACAGATGTTTCTTGAGAGAGCAACTCATTTTAAGGTGAAAACTACCTATGCAGGTAAAAGCTTAAAAATCTATGTTTAATTTAATCTGTGATTCACTTCCTTTTTTGATACCTCTACAAAAAACTTTTAGTTTTGTGTAGAAATCAGTACATAATGAGAATGCACTTCTTTTTAACACACTTGCCATCTCCCACTGAGACAAGGTGATCCAAAAAAAGAAACACTTTTACCATTGTTCACACTAACACTGCCTTGCCAGAGGCATGTACTGTATATACAACAGTTTAAATGTCCCTCTAAACAGCAAATATCACAAACCCCTCCTTTGGAGTGTAAGCACTGTACTTCTCACCTCCAGGACTCAAGTCTAGCTAACCAGTTTTCCTGAATATTACCCTGCCCACATTCCAACAGCTCATCAAGTCCCAAGGCCCATTTATCTTCACTCACTTCTTTCTAACATGCTCACACATGCCTGCTGTAATTGATTCACATTCATTACATGCATTTTGTCATCTCATTGAAGGACAATGTGACATGAAAGGTTGCCAGCTTTCTTCACAACAACTATCCTGCAGTCATTCATGATTTATGAGGGATGCATTCCACAAAGCTCATGGATAAAAAAAACTAGTATGGAATGTGAGGCCCTCTGTAATAAAAATTGGTCATCTAAAATACAAAACATACCTGGCAGTCAAAAATCAAAAAGCAAGTCACAGATCAGGAATCAATTTCAGAAAGAAATAGCACAATAAATAAACCAGTTTCAGAAGTATGAAGCACTAGCTTCATACTAGTGGCCTATTTTAGAACTGAACCACTATGTTACACTATGTTTGTATCAAATACAGTACTGCTCACAAAGTGAAATCTTTAAGCAATGAGGTCCACCAATTTAAACCTTATTTTATACATAGTTCACAAACTTTTTTTTTACTGAATTTAATTTAAACCTAAGAATTCAAATTTCTCTTCTTACCTCCAAGTGCGTATAAGATAACATCTTTTGCATTGTATGTGAAGCTTCTTGCCTTTAAATTTACTCCAACTGCAGAGAGCTGATAAAAAAAATGAAAATTTTAATATCTATGATGCTATCAATTATGTATACAGCAGTACTTGTAGCACAAGCAGTAGCAGAATTAGCAGGTGCATTTGCAAAAAATACAGTACTGTATTCTATATTACAGTACACTCCATATTTTTGTAAGCAAGTTCAAAGTGCAGTATGTATATATAAAGATAAAAATAATACACTTACATAAGAAATAATTTTTTAAGAATTTGTTTAGTGAACAAAGATCCATAAAAACTGTCATCCTGCCATCTCCCACTGAGGCAGGGTGACCCAAAAGAGAAGAAGCACTCACCAACTCTCACTCTATCACTGTCTTGCCAGATTGGCACCAATACTACAGTTCAAAACTGCAAATATCTCCAACCCTCCTTAAGAGTGCAGGCACTGTACTTCCCATTGCCAGGACTCAAGTCTGGCTAACTGGTTTGCCTAAATCCCTTCATAAATGTTAACTTGGTTGCACTCCAACAGGAAGTTAAGCCATGAAAATCAATTGTCTCCACTTGCTCCAATCAAACAAGCTCACACAAGCCTGTTGGATGTTCAAGCCCCTAGCACTCAAAATCTCCTTCACCCCTCCCTCCATCCCTTCCTGGGACAACTGCTACCTGCTCCTTCCTTCCATCCCAGATTATATACACTCTTAGTCATCAAATTCTGCCCTATCCACCATACATGCCCAAACCACTTCAACAATCCCTCTACAGCCCTCTGAACTATACTTTTGGTAATCATGCACCATCTTCTATCCTCCACACTAAAAATTCTCTGCACAACATTCACACCAACCTCCTCACTGCAACATTTAAAAAAGCCCTCGCCTTGTACCCATATAAAATTGTATCACTATACTCTAGTACATTCTCCACTTTACCTCTATACATAAACTTTTCTTCTCACAAATGTCTCAACATATCACGTACCTTTCCCCTCTGTCTATTCTGATGCACCTCATTTTTTGTGACCCATCTGCCAGTATGTGCACTCCTAAATATCCAAATACATTCACGTCCTTCATACTCCCTCCAGTCTGATATCTAATCCTTCATTGCCTAGAATTTTGTTACTTTCATTATCTTGTGTTGCCTGAAATATGAGCTTGTGATGGTTCTGATAACTTCCTTTTGTTGTGTGATACAGTGGACCCCCGGTTAACGATTTTAATCCGTGCAAGAGGGATAATTGTTATGCGAAATAATCGTTATGCGAATGAATTTTCCCCATAAGAAATAATGGAAATAAAATTAATCCGTGAAAGACGCCCAAAAGTATGAAAAAATTTTTTTTTTACCACATGAAATGTTAATTTTAATACACACAAACTGAAAAAGGCATGCACAATTACATGACACTTACTTTTATTGAAGATCTGGTGATGATTGATGGGATGGGAGGAGGGGAGAGCATTATCTTCTTACTGTTTAGAAGGGGAATCCCCTTCCATTACGACTTGAGGTAGCAAGTCCTTTTCCGGGGTTACTTCCCTTCTTCTTTTAATGCCACTAGGACCAGCTTGAGAGTCACTGGACCTCTGTCGCACAAATCTGTCCATAGAGCTCTGTACCTCCCGTTCCTTTACGATTTGTCTAAAATGGGCCACAACATTGTCATTGAAATAGTCACCAGCACGGCTTGCAACAGCTGTGTCAGGGTGATTTTCATCTATAAAGGTTTGCAGTTCAACCCACTGTGCACACATTTCCTTAATCTTTGAAGTAGGCACAATGGATTCCACAACTGGCATAGGCTTCTCAGGGTTAGCCCCAAACCCTTCAAAATCTTTCTTAATTTCCATACTAATTCTCACCCTTTTTACCACAGGGTTGGCACTAGAAGCTTTCTTGGGGCCCATGGTCACTTATTTTCCAGAAACAGCACCGAAAACACTGTAATAATACGAAATATTCCGAGTGTATGCTTGGATGTTACCGCGGAGGCTGGCTGGTAAACAATGGGACAGCCGGCACATGTGAGGCTGGCTGAGGGCACATTGGACGCGTCTCGGACGAAAATCGGTAAGCGGGTTTTTAATCGGTATGCGCGGCAAAAATTTTGCGATAAAAGTAATCGGTATGCGGAAAAATCGCTATGTGATGCCATCGTTATGCGGGGGTCCACTGTAATTGGTTATAGGTTGACAGCAGAGATTTTGTGTTCAAACTAGAACTTCAAACACAAATTCCATACGTGAAATATGGGTAAATGAGAGAGGAGTGTTAGTAGTACAGACTGGGGGCATAATAGACAATTTTAGATAATATACCTACAGTTTCTCAATTTATTTGTAATTTGAACTAATTTGTTATCCAGCTCGTCATGCCAGTAAAAACCGCAACAACCAGGTTCATACAACACTAACTTGTATTCCATCAAATGTATGTGAATATTTAAACATTTTTAATCTTACTCCCCTAAACAGAAGAAACTTTTTATTTTTTATTAATACATCAGCCGTCTCCCACCAAGGCAGGGTGACCCGTAAAATAAGGAACACTTTCGTCAGCATTTGCTCCATCACTGTCTTGCCAGAGGCATATTTACACTACAGTTATAAAACTGCAACTTCAACACCCCTCCTTCAGAGTGCAGGCACTATACTTCCCACCTCCAGGACTCAAGTTTGAAAAGAGAAAGAACGTGATAAAGGTAACTTAAATATTAACTCACAGGTCCAGTAAGTGAGGCAGAGGAAGCAGCAGTGAGGTTAGTTTTCACCTTAGAGTTTCCTCTATTTCCTTGGAGAGCCTGGTGGAAAATTGAAATGCAGTCCATTATTCAACTCTAGATATAGTGAAAGTGAAATGAAGATATTACTGAAGACAAAAATTACACTGAAGTCTTAGGTGAAGCTCTTATTAAGGTGATTACTACAGAGACAGATATGGCAAACAATGGCAGTGAATATGACCATGCTCATGCTACCAGGAAATATTTCCTGCCATCAATATGAAAAACTACGAACTAGAGAAATTAGCCATTATATTATATAACCATTATAAAAACCTGAACTTTTATTAAAGGTGAATAGTATAAGCTACTAGATTGATAATAAAATATATACAGTATTAACATTTTTAAAAACACCTTATTAAGACAAGCAGTATTAACCCTTTGACTGTCGCAACCCCAAATCCTGAGGTGTCTCCTGGTGTCGCAAAATTTAAAAAAAAAAAAAAATTATTTTTTCTTATGAAATGATAGAGAATCTTTTCCCGATTGTAAAGACACCAAAAAAACGAAATTTGATGGAAAACTGACGGAATTACGCTCTCGCGAAGTTAGCGACTTCGGCGATATTTAAAAATCGGCAATTTCGCCCACTTTGAGCCCTATTTTCGGCTAATTCCGTTATTCCAGTCAACCAAACTCATAACTATTTCTTCAGAACTCTATTTTTTCTATCGATTGAGTACAAGAAACTGCCCATTTACCGATTTTAACTACCCAATAACATGGTCAGAAATTTGCAATTTGGCCAATTTCACGAAAATTAAAAAATACGACAATTTCAAAATAAGGTCCAGAATGAACAATGCAGACATTCCTGGCTCTAAAATAACATTTTCTTTGTTCATCAGTCATGTCTCCAGGTCCCTGTGATATTACTCTTGCTTTTTATTTTGAAATTTTATTCAAACAAAAAATAGAAGATTTACTGTTATGCAGACTACTGCAATACTGTAATAATTGTAAAAATTACATCAACCCATTCATGACTGCGTATTAGAATGGCTATTTGGACATTTATTGGACAATGACATCATTTGTTTACTTTTGAACATCGGCAAAAATCAAACATTTCCTGTACTTTGTGCTCCATTTCCAGGTTCTTTTTATAGTAAAATTAATCAAAATCACCTCCATTTCTATAATATAGTTTCCATTCTATCAAATGAGACCATGAAAACGAGAATACAACCACAAATACTATACGAAAATAGACCACAAAGTCGGCATTTTAATTAAAAAAAACGGTCGGAGTTTTTTTTTTCTCATTATGCACTGCATGCTCCAGGATTTTTTTTATGTGGTGCACACTGACCACACAGACCCATTCTCTCACATGTGGGCCTACTAGCTTTCTCCTGCCTGATTTGAAGCCGCTAGAATTTATGAGTATATATACATCAAACACGGTACCCCGCAAACATATATATACGGCCGCGACAGTCAAAGGGTTAAATAACACAATTAAGAACATAAATGATAAGTTATATACACTTACCATCCGACTTACAATCTGCTCGACATATGACCACTCGACTTACGACCATGCTTTTTATGCAAAATTTCTGGGAAATAAACAACTGTTTGTGTTGTACACAGTGTTTATCCTAAACCTAACAGTATAAAATACAGTACTAACAGCATAAAAAGTAAACTAAAAAATGAAATACCAAAATAAAACAAAAAAATAAAATCATTACAGAAGTGTGATGTTGATATTCAGCAGTAAGGATCAACTTACGTCCATTTTGCCTTACGACCGGCTGGTCGGAACCAAGCTTGGTCATAAGTCGGATGGTACCTGTATATATATAAATTTTTATTATTATTATTTTTATTATCACACTGGCCGATTCCCACCAAGGCAGGGTGGCCCAAAAAAGAAAAACTTTCACCATCATTCACTCCATCACTGTCTTGCCAGAAGGGTGCTTTACACTACAGTTTTTAAACTGCAACATTAACACCCCTCCTTCAGAGTGCAGGCACTGTACTTCCCATCTCCAGGACTCAAGTCCGGCCTGCCGGTTTCCCTGAACCCCTTCATAAATGTTACTTTGCTCACACTCCAACAGCACGTCAAGTATTAAAAACCATTTGTCTCCATTCACTCCTATCAAACACGCTCACGCATGCCTGCTGGAAGTCCAAGCCCCTCGTACACAAAACCTCCTTTACCCCCTCCCTCCAACCTTTCCTAGGCCGACCCATACCCCATCTTCCTTCAACTACAGACTGATACACTCTTGAAGTCATTCTGTTTCGCTCCATTCTCTCCACATGTCCGAACCACCTCAACAACCCTTCCTCAGCCCTCTGGACAACAGTTTTGGTAATCCCGCACCTCCTTCTAACTTCCAAACTACGAATTCTCTGCATTATATTCACACCACACATTGCCCTCAGACATGGCATCTCCACTGCCTCCAGCCTTCTCCTCGCTGCAACATTCATCACCCATGCTTCACACCCATATAAGAGCATTGGTAAAACTATACTCTCATACATTCCCCTCTTTGCCTCCAAGGACAAAGTTCTTTGTCTCCACAGACTCCTAAGTGCACCACTCACCCTTTTCCCCTCATCAATTCTATGATTCACCTCATCTTGCATAGACCCATCCGCTGACACCTCCACTCCCAAATATCTGAATACATTCACCTCCTCCATACCCTCTCCCTCCAATCTGATATCCAATCTTTCATCACCTAATCTTTTTGTTATCCTCATAACCTTACTCTTTCCTGTATTCACTTTTAATTTTCTTCTTTTGCATACCCTACCAAATTCATCCACCAATCTCTGCAACTTCTCTTCAGAATCTCCCAAGAGCACATTGTCATCAGCAAAGAGCAACTGTGACAACTCCCACTTTATGTGAGATTCTTTATCTTTTAACTCCACGCCTCTTGCCAAGACCCTCGCATTTACTTCTCTTACAACCCCATCTATAAATATATTAAACAACCACGGTGACATCACACATCCTTGTCTAAGGCCTACTTTTACTGGGAAATAATTTCCCTCTTTCCTACATACTCTAACTTGAGCCTCACTATCCTCGTAAAAACTCTTCACTGCTTTCAGTAACCTACCTCCTACACCATACACCTGCAACATCTGCCACATTGCCCCCTATCCACCCTGTCATACGCCTTTTCCAAATCCATAAATGCCACAAAGACCTCTTTAGCCTTATCTAAATACTGTTCACCTATGTGTTTCACTGTAAACACTTGGTCCACACCCCCCCTACCTTTCCTAAAGCCTCCTTGTTCATCTGCTATCCTATTCTCCGTCTTACTCTTAATTCTTTCAATAATAACTCTACCATACACTTTACCAGGTACACTCAACAAACTTATCCCCCTATAATTTTTGCACTCTCTTTTGTCCCCTTTGCCTTTATACAAAGGAACTATGCATGCTCTCTGCCAATCCCTAGGTACCTTACCCTCTTCCATACATTTATTAAATAATTGCACCAACCACTCCAAAACTATATCCCCACCTGCTTTTAACATTTCTATCTTTATCCCATCAATCCCGGCTGCCTTACCCCCTTTCATTTTACCTACTGCCTCACGAACTTCCCCCACACTCACAACTGGCTCTTCCTCACTCCTACAAGATGTTATTCCTCCTTGCCCTATACACGAAATCACAGCTTCCCTATCTTCATCAACATTTAACAATTCCTCAAAATATTCCCTCCATCTTCCCAATACCTCTAACTCTCCATTTAATAACTCTCCTCTCCTATTTTTAACTGACAAATCCAGTTGTTCTCTAGGCTTCCTTAACTTGTTAATCTCACTCCAAAACTTTTTCTTATTTTCAACAAAATTTGTTGATAACATCTCACCCACTCCCTCATTTGCTCTCTTTTTACATTGCTTCACCACTCTCTTAACCTCTCTCTTTTTCTCCATATACTCTTCCCTCCTTGCATCACTTCTACTTTGTAAAAACTTCTCATATGCTAACTTTTTCTCCCTTACTACTCTCTTTACATCATCATTCCACCAATCGCTCCTCTTCCCTCCCGCACCCACCTTCCTGTAACCACAAACTTCTGCTGAACACTCCAACACTACATTTTTAAACCTACCCCATACCTCTTCGACCCCATTGCCTATGCTCTCATTAGCCCATCTATCCTCCAATAGCTGTTTATATATATATAAATATATATATACATTTTTTTTTTTTCAACAAGTCGGCCATCTCCCACCGAGGCAGGGTGACCCAAAAAAGAAAGAAAATCCCCAAAAAGAAAATGCTTTCATCATCATTCAACACTTTCACCACACTCACACATAATCACTGTTTTTGCAGAGGTGCTCAGAATACAACAGTTTAGAAGCATATATGTATAAAGATACACAACATATCCCTCCAAACTGCCAATATCCCAAACCCCTCCTTTAAAGTGCAGGCATTGTACTTCCCATTTCCAGGACTCAAGTCCGACTATATGAAAATAACCGGTTTCCCTGAATCCCTTCACTAAATATTACCCTGCTCACACTCCAACAGATATATATCTCACATATATCTCACCATAGCAAGTAATGCAGAATCTTCATAGGTGGATGCTGGATGATGAGCCCCTTTAAAATCTATTATCTTTTCCCAATTGTCACGAACTTCCTCAGGCGTAACCAAGGCCTCTTGTGACTTTTGGCACACAAGTCCTTCAGTTAATTCCCATCTAACTATTAAAACAACAGTAATTATTTAGTGATTAAAAAGGTATTTTGCACCTTTCCTCTTTGAAGTCAAAAGTTCAGCAAACCATGTGAAATAGATTAAAATTAAGTTCAGTGTTTCAATACAAAAGAAACATATACTATGTCTGATTATTATCCTTTCATTCAATAACACTGGTCAACCAAGGTCTAAGTTTATGTTTGTGTGTGTATCTGTCTAATAATGAGATGCTGAATACAAATCTGAACTTGGAGCCCCATAGCTAAAAGATACAAGGGAAACTTTAAGGTAAGTTGGATGGCAGATTACTGCTGGACATGTGTGGGAAAGTAATACTGAACTTGAAATTGAACTAAAAAACTGTGATGCAAATATGTTTGTATGACTTTGTAAATCACACTTAATATTTATGACTGTTAGGCAACATTTATCATATGGCTCTCCAGCTTTAACTAGACAAATTATTTATCATACAATTTTAAAAATTTTAAATGACAGACTAAACAAGCTCAGATTAATGATCAGTGCATCAAACTTAGCTTAAAACAGCCAACTTGATTTCTGAAATGGATAAAAAGTTAAATTATGACTAAATTTTGCTGGCTAGTGTAACTTAGGAAGCAATGGAAATCAGATCCACTTAAGTACACAAGGCTAATTCATACATTCATGAATGCCTCTCACTAAGGTTCAACATATTCCATATTTTCTCTTTTTTCAACACATCGGCCATCTCCCACCGAGGCAGGATGACCCCAAAAATGAAAGAAACACTTTAACCATCATTCAACACTTTCACCATCAATCACACATAATCACTGTCTGGAAAGTGATATAGTGGAGGCAGGATCCATACATAGCTTTAAGAAGAGATATGATAAAGCTCACAGAGAAGGGAGAAAGTGACCTAGTAGCGACCAGTGAAGAGGCAGGGCCAGGAGCGCCCAGATACGACAGTTTAGATGTCACTCCAAGCAGCCAATATCCCAATTCCCTCCTTGAAAATGCAGGCACTGTACTTCCCATTTCCACGACTCAAGTCCAGCTAACCAGTTTCCCTGAATCCCTTCATACTCCAAATTCTCTGCATAAAATTCACACCACACAACACCCTTAAACAAGAAACCTCCATGGCCTCCAGCCACCTATTATTTTTTTTTTTCAACAAACCAGCCATATCTCTCAGAGGCAGGCTGGGATACGGCCTCGGTGGTCTGGTGGCTAAAGCTCCCGCTTCACACACGGAGGGCCCGGGTTCGATTCCCGGTGGGTGGAAATTCCGACACGTTTCCTTACACCTATTGTCCTGTTCACCTAGCAGCAAATAGGTACCTGGGTGTTAGTCGACTGGTGTGGGTCGCATCCTGGGGGACAAGATTAAGGACCCCAATGGAAATAAGTTAGACAGTCCTCGATGACGCACTGACTTTCTTGGGTTATCCTGGGTGGCTAACCCTCCGGGGTTAAAAATCCGAACGAAATCTTATCTTATCTTATCTTACAGGAGAAGGGGTTACTACCAACTTACTAGTAAGAAGTAGTAAGACATGCCTGAAAACTTGCATGTTTATAAGACAGAAAAAAGACACCAGTAATCCTACCATCATGCAAAACAATTACAGGCTTCCATTTTACATTCACTTGATGGGATGGTAGTATCTCCCTGGGCAGCTGCTGATTACCAACCTACTACACAGAAGGATTGTTTTTTTTTTTTAACACCAGCCATATCCCACCGAGGCGGGGTGGCCCAAGAGGAAAAACAAAAGTTTCCCCTTTTACATTTAGTAATATATACAGGAGAAGGGGTTACAAGCTCCTCGCTCCAGGCATTTTAGTCGTCTCTTACGACATGCATGGCATATGGAGGAAGAATTCTGTTCCACTTCCCCATGGAGATAAGAGGAAATAAACAAGAACAAGAACTAGCAAGAAAATAGAAGAAAAGTCAGAGGGGTGTGTATATATATGCTTGTACATGCATGTGTAGTGTGACCTAAGTGTCAGTAGAAGTAGCAAGACATATACCTGAAATCTTGCATATTTACGAGACAGAAAATAGACACCAGTAATCCTACCATCATGCAAAACAATTACAGGCTTCCATTTTACATTCACTTGATAGGACGGTAGTATCTCCCTGGGCAGCTGCTGTCTACCAACCTACTACACAGGAGGATTTTTTTTTTTTCAACAAACCAGCCGCATCCCACCAAGGCAGGGTGGCCCAAAAAGAAAAACGAAAGTTTCTCTTTTTAAATTTAGTAATTTATACAGGAGAAGGGGTTACTAGGCCCTTGCTCCCAGCATTTTAGTCGCCTCTTACAACACGCATGGTTTACAGAGGAAGAATTCTGTTCCACTTCCCCATGGAGATAAGAGGAAATAAACAAGAACAAGAACTGGAAAGAAAATAGAAGAAAGCCCAGACGGGTGTGTATATATATGCTTGTACATGTATGTGTAGTGTGACCTAAGTGTAAGTAGAAGTAGCAAGACGTACCTGAAATCTTGCATGTTTATGAGACAGAAAAAAGGACACCAGCAATCCTACCATCATGTAAAACAATTACAGGTTTCCGTTTTACACTCACTTGGCAGGACGGTAGTACCTCCCTGGGCAGTTGCTGTCTACCAACCTACTACCTATAAGAAGGATTATTATTATTATATAAAACAATCACAAATACTGTATGAAAAAACAATATAAATTTCCCTCACTTTATGTGAATTTGATATTAAGCAGTGTCCCATTTCTTTCAGTAACTATATACAATATACATTCACCATATGTGATCAGTGCTTTTCACAAAGCATACTGAAGTACTGACATCCTGCCTGAGCTTAGTACAATTGCCATGTGATCAGAATGCATCTACTGCATAAAGCAAGACACCTTATTGTAATGTTGAAATCTGCTCTGAAATACAACACAATATACGGATCTGCATGGCAGCACACACTTACACTTTCCATACCATCCACCTGCAGCCTTGTAAAGTCCACCGCTGTCTTCACAGTCTTCATGACACAACCACAACACCAGTGGAGCCACAAATTCCGGCTTAAGCTCGTCAAACATTTCTGAGATGAAAGAATGCTAATGTAAATTAAAAGTGAATTACAATTTTATATGATTCATACAGATACAAAAAAAAATGAAAATGATGCATGGAAACTACTCTCTTAATATATTAGTGGCAGGATAATGCCAATAACAAGAAATATTTTATAACTGGCTTGCATCAAGCAGATAGGACGAAATGTGAAAATTAAGCCCTTAACTGTCCAAATGCAGTTCTACATTTTCACAACTAGCGCTCCTAATGTAGATAAACGTTTTATTTTTCCTGCCTCCAAATTTGGCACAACTGGCCTGAGATGCCTGGTCAATACAGAATGGGTCTTAACAATCAAGTGTGTGTGTAGCATTAAAAAGATCTGGGATCATTTAGTACCTTGTGGGAGCACCAGTTCAATTGAGTGCCAGCTAGAGCAAACAGCGTGGCTAACACCTAGGATTAATTTACTTTTCTTTTTTTTTTTTTAAACAAGTCGGCCATCTCTCACTGAGGCAGGGTGACCCAAAAAGAAAGAAAATCCCCAGGAAAAAAATTCTTTCATCATTTAACACTTTCACCTCACTCACACATAATCACTGTCTTTGCAGAGGTGCCCAGATACAACAATTTAGAAGCGTATATAAAGATATATAACATATCCCTCCAAACTGCCAATTTTCCAAACCCCTCCTTTAAAGTGCAGGCATTGTACTTCCCATTTCCAGTACTAAAGTCCAGCTATATAAAAATAACCGGTTTCCTGAATTTTTTTTTTTTGTTTGTTTGTTTTTTTCAACAAGTCGGCCGTCTCCCACCGAGGCAGGGTGACCCAAAAAAGAAAGAAAATCCCCAAAAAGAAAATACTTTCATCATCATTCAACACTTTCACCACACTCGCACATTATCACTGCTTTTGCAGAGGTGCTCAGAATACAACAGTTTAGAAGCATATACGTATAAAGATACACAACATATCCCTCCAAACTGCCAATATCCTGAATACCTTCACTAAATATTACCCTGCTCACATTCCAACAGCTCATCAGGTCCCAAAAACCATTCGTTTCCATTCACTCCTATCTAACACGCTCGTGCATGCTTCCTGGAATTCCAAGCCCCTCACCAACAAAACCTCCTTTACCCCCTCCCTTCAACCTTTTCAAGAAAAATCCCTACCCCACCTTCCTTCCCCTACAGATTTATATGCTCTCCAAGTCATTCTACTTTGATCCATTCTCTCTAAATGACCAAATCACCTCAACAACCCCTCTTCAGCCCTCTGACTAATACTTTTATTAACTCCACACCTTCTTCTAATTTTCACACTCCGAATTCTCTGCATAATATTTATACCACACATTGCCCCTAGGCAGGACATCTCCACTGCCTCCAGCCACCTCCTTGCTGCAGCATTTAAAACCCAAGCTTCACACCCATATAAGAGTGTTGGTACCACTATACTTTTATACATTCCTTTTTTTGTCTACATGGATAACGTTTCTGTCTCCACAAATACCTCAATGCACCACTCACCTTTTTTCCTTCATCAATTCTATAATTAACCTCATCCTTCATAAATCCATCTGCTGACACGTCAACTCCCAAATATATGAAAACATTCACTTCTTCCTTACTCCCTCTCTCCAATGTGATATCCATTTTTTTTTATCTAAATCGTTTGATACCCTCATCACCTTACTCTTATCTATGTTCACTTTCAACTTTCTACTTTTACACACCCTCCCAAACTTGTCCACTAACCTTTGCAACTTTTCTTTAGAATCTCCCATAAGCACAGCATCATCAGCAAAATGTAACTGTGTCAACTCCCATTTCATATTTGATTCCCCATAATTTAATCCCAACCCTCTCCCCAACACCCTAGTATTTACTTCTTTTACAACCCCATCTAAAAATATATTAAACAACCAGGGTGACATTACACATCCCTGTCTAAGACCTACTTTTACCGGGAAGTAATCTCCCTCTCTTCTACACACCCTAACCCAAACCTCAGTATCCTCATAAATACTCTTTACAGCATTTAGTAACTTACCACCTATTCCATACACTTGTAACATCTGCCACATTGCTCCCCTATCCACTCTATCATGTGCCTTTTCTAAATCCATAAATGCAATGAAAACTTCTCTACCTTTATCAAAATACTGTTCACATATATGCTTGAATGTAAACGCTTGATCTACACATCCCCTACCCACTCTAAAGCCTACTTGCTCTGCAATCCTATTCACTGATGTCATGTCATATTAATTAACACTCCCCTTTTACGAGGAAACTGATGTTGACCCCAAGATAAAGCTTTGAGATGGATGTGGCCACAAGTGGTTGAGGAAATATCAAAACCCTCGATAATATCCTATGTGCAACATTTGTGCCACATCCTTTCATCCTGTCATTCTGCCAGAATGTCCTATAACCTTTGCCCTAAGTAAAGAGAAACGATTCTGAGACGTGTAATATGTAAACCATACCCCCGGCCGGGATTGGACCCGCAGTTTATTTCCAATCGTGTCATTACGATTTCTTGAGTCGTGTAATATGTGTTCGGCCGGCCCACCAGCTAACTGGTTTCCCTGAATTCCTTCATAAGCGTTACTTTGCTCACACTCCAACAGCACATCAAGTCAAAAACCATTTCCTTCCTTTCGCTCCAATCTAACACGCTCGCAAAAGCTTGTTGGAAGTCTAAGCCCCTCGCACAAAAGCGACTTTCCTAAGATGATCCCTACCCTGCCTTTCTTCCACTGCAGATTTATACACCTTCCAAGGCATTCTACTTTGTCCCATCCTCTATAAATGCCCAAATTGCCTCAACAACCCCTCTTCAGTACTCTGGAAAATACTTTTAGTAACCCTGCACCTCCTTCTAATCTCCAAGCTACAGATTCTCTGCATAATATTCACACCACACATTGCCCTCAGACACAACATCTTCACTGCCTCCCGCCTTTTCCTTGTTGCAACATTCACCACCCATGCTTAACACCCATATAAGAGCATTGGTACCACTATACTCTCATATACAGTGGACCCCCGCTTAACGATCACCTCCCAATGCAACCAATTATGTAAGTGTATTTATGTAAGTGCGTTTGTACGTGTATGTTTGAGGGTCTGAAATGGACTAATCTACTCCACAATATTCCTTATGGGAACAAATTCAGTCAGTACTGGCACCTTAACATACTTCTGGAATGAAAAAATATCGTTAACCGGGGGTCCACTGTATTTCCCTCTTTGCTGCTATGGATAACGTTCTTTGTTTATATACTGCACATCCTACAGACTTCTTCATCTTCAATACTGAAAAATTTTCAACACCTTACATACCATATATGTACTGCAGAAATAACTCTCATAAAAAGGATGAAACCATTACTGGTACATAAAACTGTTTATTTTACTACTACTTTTTGTAAATAAACAGCAATGTTTCAAGGACTAGTATTCACTTTCACCTTTCTTATATATCTCTGCTTCCCAAGGAAATCCTCCAAAAATGATGTCTTTAAAAACTTTTATTATGTTATACACCTTCAAGAACTCATACATTAATAACCTCGTACTATATTTAAAGTATCACTAACCTGGTGGTAGGATACCCTCTGTCATACGGGTGCCACTCACAGGTGTTATGGTGTTGCAATGGACGTTATATTTATAACCTTCAATTGCTACAGTATTGCTGAGGCCCAATAATCCAAGTTTAGCAGCACTGAAAAAAAAAATTGGATTCACTTTCATGCAGAAGTCTTTTAAATTTTTTTTTTTTTTTTCAACAAGTCGGTCGTCTCCCACCGAGGCAGGGTGACCCAAAAAAGAAAGAAAATCCCCAAAAAGAAAATACTTTCATCATTCAACACTTTCACCACACTCACACATTATCACTGCTTTTGCAGAGGTGCTCAGAATACAACAGTTTAGAAGCATATACGTATAAAGATACACAACATATCCCTCCAAACTGCCAATATCCCAAACCATTCCTTTAAAGTGCAGGCATTGTACTTCCCATTTCCAGGACTCAAGTCTTTTAAATGATAACTGAAATATCAAGCTACTCGCCAATTCTATTACCATCCTTGTTATCTTTTTCCATTACATACTGTTACATACATAACATACAAACCCATAATAGTCTGATGGTGCTTTTGCAGACTTAATTATAAATATTCCTCCAGTTTCTTTCCCTCTCTCATCATTTCTCTCTCTTTCTACTCATAACTGTCACATTCACATTTTTTCTCTAAAACATACCATAGTTTACATGCAAAGTATTAAAAATAATTATTTATTTATTTTTTTTTATTATCACACCGGCCGATTCCCACCAAGGCAGGGTGGCCCGAAAAAGAAAAACTTTCACCATCATTCACTCCATCACTGTCTTGCCAGAAGGGTGCTTTACACTACAGTTTTTAAACTGCAACATTAACACCCCTCCTTCAGAGTGCAGGCACTGTACTTCCCATCTCCAGGACTCAAGTCCGGCCTGCCGGTTTCCCTGAATCCCTTCATAAATGTTACTTTGGTCACACTCCAACAGCACGTCAAGTATTAAAAACCATTTGTCTCCATTCACTCCTATCAAACACGCTCACGCATGCCTGCTGGAAGTCCAAGCCCTTCGCACACAAAACCTCCTTTACCCCCTCCCTCCAACCCTTCCTAGGCCGACCCCTACCCCGCCTTCCCCTTCCACTACAGACTGATACACTCTTGAAGTCATTCTGTTTCGCTCCATTCTCTCTACATGTCCGAACCACCTCAACAACCCTTCCTCAGCCCTCTGGACAACAGTTTTGGTAATCCCGCACCTCCTCCTAACTTCCAAACTACGAATTCTCTGCATTATATTCACACCACACATTGCCCTCAGACATGACATCTCCACTGCCTCCAGCCTTCTCCTCGCTGCAACATTCATCACCCACGCTTCACACCCATATAAGAGCGTTGGTAAAACTATACTCTCATACATTCCCCTCTTTGCCTCCAAGGACAAAGTTCTTTGTCTCCACAGACTCCTAAGTGCACCACTCACTCTTTTTCCCTCATCAATTCTATGATTCACCTCATCTTTCATAGACCCATCCGCTGACACGTCCACTCCCAAATATCTGAATACGTTCACCTCCTCCATACTCTCTCCCTCCAATCTGATATTCAATCTTTCATCACCTAATCTTTTTGTTATCCTCATAACCTTACTCTTTCCTGTATTCACCTTTAATTTTCTTCTTTTGCACACCCTACCAAATTCATCCACCAATCTCTGCAACTTCTCTTCAGAATCTCCCAAGAGCACAGTGTCATCAGCAAAGAGCAGCTGTGACAACTCCCACTTTGTGTGTGATTCTTTAAAAATAATTATCAGCACAAAAATAATCACAAAATGGAGAGGAAAGAATGCAACGGACAAGTGAAGTAGTAGCAGCAGCTACACACACCGAGACACGTTCTTAAGCTTCCCCAGAGCTCAGGCTTTGACCCAAAGCTGGGAGTATGGCTCCAAAAGGATCCTATAATGGTTGCTGCCTTTGCACCTCCTGATATTGTCTGCTGCTATGCAGCTGCCACACCCTTCAAGCCCAGTGTGGGCGGGGTTTGTGGTAGCCCAAGGTACCTAGCTTCTCCTTCTGAGCCCTGTGGGGGTGGGGAATGGGGCTAGGCCTGGGGACAGCTGGTCCCAGATGATGAGAAGGTACTTGTACCTCCCCCCACGGCAGACATTGGTCTGAGACACTCCCAGGACAGGAGCCAAGGCTGGTCACCTCTTGGAAAAGGCCCAGGACAGACAAATCTACAACAACAACCACAAAATATCCATCTCATTAATTTTGATTAATATTATTTTAAGCAAGTGTGTATATGAAGATGTAATTACCTACAATCATGTACATACCATATCCTCTTTTCAGTTACAAACTCCTGAGTCCCAGCTGTGAGGTTCATCCAGACTCAACAGCCCTAAAAAGCCCACATAACACTGGGATCTGAGCTTTGGGGGCCCCTTACATAAGAATCTGAGACTCCTAAATTTCACATCCCATTTTTGAGAGATTCTCTTGAACTCTTCAAACTAAAAGTTGAATTTGAAGGCTTGAGCCTGTACAATACAGTACACTGTACTGTATATAGGTGCACTGTTTGTAAATTATGTACCTATATACAGTACAGTGTACTGTATTGTACAGGCTCAAGCCTTCAAATACAACTTCCAGTTTAATGTGTTCCAGAAAATCTCTCAAAAGTGGAACCTGCATTTGAGGGGGTATCAGATTTGAATGTAAAAGTTCCATATATGTGGCCTCCTCCCCACAGCTCAGATTCCAGTATTATCAAGGGTTTATCAGGACCCATGAACCTGGATGTACCTCAGAATACAGTTACAGGCACTGAGCAAAGCTTATGGAATCTTAAGTTTGATGCCATTCAATATGGTACAAACAGCACAGCATTTAATTATATGTACATTGTGTATTTTTAATATTATGTCGATATATAGTATTCATTTTTGTCAATAGCTAAAATGGAAATATTGTTCATTAAAGTACTAATCCATTTATATTCTCATATCTTTAGTATTCACATTAGGTAGGATGTGTTCTATAACTTAACAGCTTCCATACCAGCAAAATCAGTTCTACTGACTGTCTGCCGATCTGCTGTAGGTTAATGGTCGTTCAGCAGTTCAGATGCATACTGGGAGTTTTGTCAAGCCTCAGTGGTGAGCGAGCACTCAGCTACCTGCTGGCATCTCCATCTCTCTCTCTTTCTCTCTCTCTCTGACCAGCTATAGTAGGAACACAGCATACGCTTCCATGTTCCTCCTCCTCCACTCACCTTTGCGAGTCTTGGTAATTTTGGGATTTTAGTACCATTTATGGAGGACACCACTGTTTGTCCCCAGAAAGACTGTTTTTTGTCTATGTACTTAAATACTATTGTGTGCTGTTTACTAATGATGTGCAAGCAAGTTTGATCTCTACTTTCAGCAAGCTGTGTTTTGTCCAATCTGATGTTAAGAGTATTTAGGGGCTTGTTCTGGTGTGCCAGTTTTCCTTCTGCATTGTGTATATATATTGTTGTACTGTTAAGTATTACATGCACAGTAATATACCTGATGGTACAGTTTATGACAATCAGTGTACTACTGTATTTGAAAAGTTGTTCACTAAAGTATTTTGTATAGTCTTTTCTGCATCTCTTTCTTAATTTAATTTACAAGTGTTTCTTTTGTCCATTTTGCTTCTTGTTCCAAAACTCACCCCTCTCTAACTTTTAATAATAATACAGTATCTTTATTTCTACAAGTACATGTGTAAAGTATACAGGCCTAGTTGATATCAATGACATATTACTATATAGAAAGCCGCTTGTTATGCGGAGCATTCCAGGCAAATTAGTTCAACTTTGTCCCAGGATGCGACCCACACTAGTTCACTAATACCCAGGTACCTATTTTACTGATGGAGAACATAGACAACTGGTGTAAGGAAAAACATCAAATGTTTCTACCCTTGCTGGGAATCGAACATGGACATTCACCGTGTGAAGTAAGAACTTTTGCCACCAGGCCACCATATCCTTACACAAATTTTCATGTGTTATCACATCTCTAAAGCTCTATATTCTTATAATAATAATAATAATAATAATAATAATAATAATAATAATAATAATAATAATAATAATAATAATATAATAATAATAATAATAATAATAATAATAATTGTAGGTAGTAGGTTAGACAGCGACCACCCAGGGAGGTACTACCGTCCTGCCAAGTGAGTGTAAAGCGAAAGCCTGTAATTGTTTTACATGATGGTAGGATTGCTAGTGTCTTTTGTCTGTCTCATAAACATGCAAGATTTCAGGTACGTCTTGCTATTTCTACTTACACTTAGGTCACACTACACATACATGTACAAGCATATATGTACACACCCCTCTGGGTTTTCTGCTTTTTCTTTCTAGTTCTTGTTCTTGTTTATTTCCTCTTATCTCCATGGGGAAGTGGAACAGAATTCTTCCTCCGTAAGCCATGCGTGTTGTAAGAGGCGACTAAAATGCCGGGAGCAAGGGGTTAGTAACCCCTTCTCCTGTATAAATTACTAAATTTAAAAAGAGAAACTTTCGTTTTTCTTTTTGGCCACCCTGCCTTGGTGGGATACGGCCGGTTTATTGAAAATATAAATAAATAAAAAATAATAATAATAATACAGTGGACCCCCGGTTAACGATATTTTTTCACTCCAGAAGTATGTTCAGGTGCCAGTACTGACCGAATTTGTTCCCATAAGAAATATTGTGAAGTAGATTAGTCCATTTCAGACCCCCAAACATACACGTACAAACGCACTTACATAAATACACTTACATAATTGGTCACATTCGGAGGTAATCGTTATGCGGGGGTCCACTGTAATATCTTTATTTTTACAAGTACAGCTGGGCCCCACTTATATGGTACGTTAAGTTTCAGGCTATTGCCGGAAAGCAGACATCGCTGGAAAGCAGACATCACTGGAAAGCAGACATCACTGGAAAGCAGAACGCCATTTTTTCCACTTATAAATGCATATAAATGCCAGACAACAAGTTTACACTACCTTATATTAAGTTAGTAATAGAACTAGGCATTAAAAAGCACAAAGTAAAATAAATACACAGTACATTCATTACTTACCTTAAAATATTTGTAGTCTTAATGCAGGGCGAGAGGTGAGTAGTACAGTACTTATTTGTAGGTAGTCAGATGTAGGTAGCCCTGGCTCCCTGTCCCAAATTTAATATACGATATTTAAAGTAGCCCAGGAGATAAAATACACATACAATACACTCATTATTTACCTTAAAATGTGTGTAGTCTTAATGTAGGATGAGAGGCGAGTAGTATTTATTTGTAGGAAGTCAGGTGTAGGTAGCCGGTAGATGTAGCCTGCCTGGGGTACATAGCTATAGTACAATATTTAATGCAGCCCAGAGCCATATGATTACCATCGACATGCCTTATTCACTAAGTTTAATCGTTTCTAACAACTACCATTAGATGCCACCAGAAACATAATGAGAAGTAATGATGATAATTCATGCCAAGAATTATAAACAAAAGTGGAATGTGAAGGGGAGTGACTGGGCCAAATGCAGATTCATACACATTTTCTCTGGTGTTGGACCAGAGAAAACATAATGTTCTCCCTCCGCCCGGCTGCGACACTTCCAGAGCATATAAACATAGCATGTTTATATGACATGTAATGTGTTTCTTATACGATTTTAAAGAAAATATTATAAATGGATTAATGAAAATGTTCATATTAACATAAAATAAGACACTTAATGTGCACAAGAACGATCATTATTATGTATTAGTATTATTACTATGGTGTTAAGACTAGAGAAACACTCTTAGTGATTTTAGTAAGTAAGTAAGTAAGTTTATTCAGGTATACACAAATACAGTTACATAGATTATCATACATAGCAGCATATGTGTAGAGAACCTGGGATAACCCAAAAAAGCCAGACAGAGTGACTTATTTCCATTGGGATCCTTTAATGTGTACCTGCATGCCAGCACAGTGTGTAAGTATATTTAGGTACATGTACACATAAGTATAATTATCAGAGTACATAAAAAATATGCTGTAACTTTAAAACACTTGAAATTTTGGAAAGTTTCCATACATAACAGAGAGATGTGCTCACGGAGAATGTAAACAAACTGGGTGGGGCACACTGTATTAGAAAGACAGGGAGCCATATAACAAGTTTTGGTCACAATTTGAAATCCTCGTATTGGTGGAATGCCGCAAGGCGAAATGCTGTAAAACGGGACCCTACTGTACATGTACAAGGTATACAGGCCTAGCTGACATCAATGACATACTACTATAAAGAAAGCCACTTGTTATGAAGAGCATTTCAGGCAAATTAGGTCAGTTTTGTCCCAGGATGCGACCCACACAAGTCAACTAACACCCTGGTTCCCATTTTACTGATGGGTGAACATTTTCAAGGACCTGCCATTCTTTGCAAGTCACACTTTTAAATTTCAGGAATCATTTTGTTGAACATCTCTAGACTATTTTGTGTGTATTTCTTACGCCATTTTTATAAGTTACCTACACTTTGCTTGGTGGGATACTGCTGGTTTGTTGAAAGAAGATGACCTACACTTTGCCTGGCTTATAATAAGGTTAATGCATCACAGGATTTTTATTAATAGCAGTCATTTATGACTTGGGTAATTACCAATAAAATGTGTGAAGTCTGAGCACTAATACCTATAGTTAGCCTGGCCAAAGTTTCCATAGACTCCGGATGTTGAGGAGGTCATGATGATTCGACCATACTTCTGCTTCTTCATGATTGGAAAAGCAGCCCGTGTGACCATGAATGCACCTCGCAAGTGTACACGCTGAACCAAATCTAAAGTGATCAGAAAAAAAGAACTAATTAATATCCAAAATGCCATCAAATATCTTAAACGTTTCTTGCTTGTTGATATTACTTCCATTTGTCTTATCAAACTCCAACCCTCTGGTACCAAATAAAACATGTAATGATGAACTAAAAAAGAGAAATTACCCTAGGATAACCAACAAGCTCACCCTTAACACAGATTATCTTTCTAAATTATTTCTGAGAATTAATCATGCATCTAATTAGATATTAACCCTTTGAGGGTTTCGGCCGTACTAGTACGGCTTACGACCCAGGGTTTTTGACGTACTAGTACGCCTAAATTCTAGTGCCCTCAAATCCGGTGAGAGAAAGCTGGTAGGCCTACACATGAAAGAATGGGTATGTGGTCAGTGTGCGCAGTATAAAAAAAATCCTGCAGCATACAGTGCGTAATGAGAAAAAAATAACTTTTACTGTGTTTTTGGAATAAAACAGCGACTTTGCACTGTATTATCGTATGGTAATTATTGTTGTATTCTACTTTTCTTGGTCTCATTTTATAGAATGGAAGACATATTACAAAAATTGAGATGATTTTGACTGGTTTTACAATGAAAAGTACCTTGAAATTGAGTGCAAAATAGCAGAAATGTTCGATTTTTATCAAAGTTCAAAAGTAAACAAATCATGCCAAGCGTCCATTACACGTCAACTGGTGAGTCTAATATTCTTTCACAAGTATGATGATATTATTTATATCATTTCTACACTAATGCAGCAGTCTGCATAACAGTAAATCTTCTATTTTTTGTAATAATAAAAATTCAAAGTGGAAAGCCAAAGAAATATAAGAGGGGCCTGGGGATGTGACTAACGAACAGAGAACTTGTTATTTTAGTGCCAGGAATGTCTTTCTTGTTTATTCTGGACCCTTTTTGGAAATTGGCATCTTTTGAAATTTGTGTGAAATTGGCAAAATTGCTAAATTCTGACCACTTTATTGGATAGTTGAAATTGGTAAATGGGTAGTTTCTTGTACTCATTCGATAGAAAAAAATGGAGTTCTAGCGAAATAGTTATGATTTTTGTCGACTAGTACATTGGAATTGGCCGAAAATAGGGCTCAAAGTGGGCAAAATCGCCGATGCATAAACATCATCTAGACCGCTAACTTCGCGAGAGCATAATTCCATAAGTTTTCCATCAAATTTCATACTTTTGGTGTCATTATGATCGGGAAAAGATTCTCTATCTTTTCATAAGAAAAAATTATTTTTTTTTTGAAATTTGGCCGACCCTGAGAACAAGTTTCGGAGAGGGCCTGTCAACCCTCAAAGGGATTAACAAAATCAAATTAATGACAGCAATTTAAAATTTATGCTATTATTCAGTAACAAAAAGCCTAGGCAATGAAGGACTTGAAATCAAAATGGAAGAAAGGATTATGGAGGAATCTGAATTATTTAGATATTTAGGAAAGGATACATCAACAGATGAGTTTATGAAGAAGGTAAACCATAGAATAGATGATGGGGAAAAAGGTAGGTGATGTGTCAAGGCATTTGTAGAAAGAATTTATTCTAATAAGTCAAAAAGGGTAGTATAACAGCATGTAGCAGTACATATCTTTTTATGTGGGCATGAGGTATGGGTTTTAAACACTGCAAGGAGAGGGACGCTAAAGGTTGTGGAGATGACAAGCATGAGAGCAATGTGGTGTTAACATTATGCAGAGAATTTGGGGCATAGAAATTAGAAGTTGGAGTGGGGGTTACCCAAGGTACAATTCAGAGGGCTGAGGAGAGGTTGCTGAGGGACTGACATCTCAAAACTATGTCTTTGAGGGTAATGGATTGATTTCATTACATATCTTCACACATTTACTACTTCTGCTGCGTCCTCTGTACTCGACTGAAGACGTCTACTGTATAGACAAAACATTTGAGAATAAAGTTACCTAACTGTTTCATGTGTCTTACTCATCAAAGTGTCGAGTCACTTTATATCTCAGTTGTTACCACATGGGACATGAAGTCACCTTACACCTGGTTACACTACTGCTTGCCTGTTACATGTGAACCTCAACAAATTAAATGCATCTTACAATTATTTCATAATTAATTTTCTACATCTGTAACTTTCTCACAGCAATGTAAGGTAACCCAAACAAGGCAACACATTCACCATCAATCAGTCAATGCATAGAAATAACAATTTAAGTGACCTTCTGTACTGCAACATTCCCACCCATTCATTATATTTGTACACAATTTTTAAATAAATTGTTAAGTATCATAACACAAAACCAATATCAAGTAAATGCAGCAATATACTGATAATGGTATGCAATGTTGCACTAGCTTTCTGTTCCCACAGACACTTCAAGTCTCTAAAATCTGACAAAACTCAAAATTGCAATTTCTTGGTCTCAAGTTATGTACTTATCCAGGGAGCAACTTCAAAGGGTTTTCCTAGCCTCACAGACCAGCTCAAAGCCTGACTTTCCTGATGACCTTCTGATCAACCAGCAGCCCACAGCCCAACATAATCATCCCATCCTGGTTAATCTGGCAAAATTATAAACACATTAAATATGAAACATAATTCACCAAAGTCCTACAAAAATTTTATATTTGAAACATGACCATTACTCACTAAATCCCAAAGCTTATGTGATAGAAGTGTTAAAGCTACAACTTGCAAGTTCTTACCCCAATCGGTGTCAGATATGCGAGCAAAAGATCTGTCTCTCAAGATACCAGCATTGTTCACCAATATGTCCACACGGCCAAAATTATCAAGTGCTGTTTGAACAATTTTTTCTCCATCTTCCACTGAATTATAGTTGGCTACAGCAATCCCTCCTGTTAACAAACACACAATTAACATATAAAAAACATATTGCAGGGAATTTTCGCATTTAACGTTCAAGTTCTACAATTTATGGAGAGGTAATTTAGGTCATTCAACTTTCTTTGTTTAACCACTTCAGCTGTTTGCCAAGTGTGGTAAGACAACACAAAGAAGAAGCACATTCACCATCATTTACTTTTTGGCAAGGCAGCTATTGAATGAGTGACAATCACAATTCAAATGGAATAATACATAAAGTACAAGAATAATAGTATTTACATTCACAAGACTGCATTTCTATGAGTAAATAATATGTAACAGGAAGCACTGACACATGATTCATTTCATTAACTACCAGTATTGAATTGTATCTAAATCACATAAATTTTTTATTAACACACTGGCCGATTCCCACCAAGGCAGGGTGGCCCGAAAAAGAAAAACTTTCACCATCATTCACTCCATCACTGTCTTGCCAGAAGGGTGCTTTACACTACAGTTTTTAAACTGCAACATTAACACCCCTCCTTCAGAGTGCAGGCACTGTACTTCCCATCTCCAGGACTCAATTAATGGGTTTACTCCACACCAAATTTCTTTAACTTACCTAAGTATTTTTAGTGTCATTTTTATTTATCACACTGACTGAACATGTAACAAAAATGAAAATCACTAAATGTAATCATATGCATATGGCACCAGATCCTTCTGAGGGGACAGACATAAAATTGCTCAAATTTTAAGTTAGGGCAAAAAAATGTCTGAAATTAGCAAATTATTCCTAGAGCAATTAACATAATTACTGTATATGCATTTCACAAATGGTGTTTTTATTTAATAAAAGTATGGAAGAGGGTAAGGTACCTAGGGATTGGCGAAGAGCATGAATAGTTCTGTTGTATAATGGCAAAGGGGACAAAAGAGAGAGTAAGAATTATAGGGAAATAAGCCTGTTGAGTATACCTGGTAAAGTGAATGGCAGAGTTATTACTGAAAGAATTAAGACAATGACAGAACATTGAGGCTTTAGAAAGGGTAGGGGTGTGCAGACTAAGTGTTGAGAGTGAAACATATAGGTGAACAGTATGCAGATTTATCACAAAGTGAGAGTTATCACTGTTGCTCTTTGTTGATGACACTGTGCTTTTGGGAGATTCTGAAGAGAAGTTGCAGAGGTTGGTTGATGAGTTTGGTAGGGTATGTAAAAGAAGGAAATTAAAAGTGAATATAGGAAAGAGTAAGGTGATAAGGATAACAAACAAAAAAATTAGGTAATGAAAGATTGAATATCAGATTGGAGGGAGAGAGTATGGAGGAGGTGAATGTTTTCAGATATTTGGGAGTGGACATGCCAACAAATGCGTCTATGAAAGATGAGGTGAATCATAGAATTGATGAGGGGAAAAAGGTGAGTGGTGCACTGAGGAGTCTGTGGAAACAAAAAACTTTATCCATGAAAGCAAAAAGAGGAATGTATGAGAGTATAGTTATACCAACACTCTTATATGGGTGTGAGGCATGGGCGGTGAATGTTGCAACAAGGAGAAGGCTGGAGGCGGTGGAGATGTCATGTCTGAGGGCAATGTGTAATGTGAATATAATGCAGAGAATTTTTAGTTTGGAGATTAGGAGGAGGTGCAGGATTACCAAAACTACTATCCAGAGGGCTGAGGAGGGGTTACTGAGATGGTTTGGACATGTAGAGAAGATATAATGAAATAGAATGACTTCAAGAGTGTACATTGTAAATTTGTAGTGGAGGGAAGGCAGGGTAGGGGTTGGCCTAGGAAAGGTTGCAGGGAGGGGGGTAAAGGAGGTTTTGTGTGCGAGGGATTTGAACTTCCAGCAAGCATGCGTGAGCATGTTAGATAGAAGTGAGTGAAGACAAGTAGTTTTTAGGACTTGATGTGCTGTTGGAGTGTGAGCAAGGTAACATTTAAGAAGGGATCCAGGAAAATTTGCAAGCCTGACATGAGTCGTCGAGGTGGGAAGTACAGTGCCTGCACTCTGAAGGAGGGGTGTTGATAAGTTGCAGTTTTAAACTGTAGTGTAGGCATGCCTCTAGCAAGACAGTGATGGAGTGAATGATGATGAAAGTGTTTCTTCTTTTCCGGGTCACCCTGCCTTGGTGGGAAACGACCGATGTGTTAAAAAAAAAAAGCATTTCACAAAAACAAAAAGGAAATACTAACCTTTAAAACACAAACCATATAATGGTAATTAACAATATATACATACATCCAGAGATCTCTCTCTCAGTGTATATATACCAAAGGTATACTTTAACCAATATTTAAGGGATTAATCAAAAGTATACTTTAACCAATATTTTAGGGATTAAAGTATTCTTGACCAGTGGTGAACAAGTGACAAGCAGCCTTTTAATGATGCTTTGAGAAGTTGACAAGCTTGAAGACCAACTGAGCAGTCAACACTGTTTTAGGCATGGCCTGTTGTACAGTGCCACTTCAACCTGAAAGTAACTTCGTGCTTTAAAAAGCATTTCAAACTCCAGGAAGTGTATCTGTTATGCTGACTGATTTCTAGAACCACAGGTATAAAAATAGGTCAGAAGAAGCAAAAAATTGCTTGTGTTCATATGTTGCAATAAACCAAAATAACTCTTGCAGTAGTAACATAGAGGTCAGTAATCTGTTTCCACAAACACTCACCCTTAATATACAAACAACCACTATACAAGTTTCATGCAGCAGTACAGTATAAGTACACATTTCAAAAGTGGTGCATATCTGTATGTCAAACAAATAAAACCTTCAAGGATACATATAATTTCTCAATAGGTTACAAAGCATTTTTTAATGATTTTTTTTTTTTCAACAAGTCGGCCGTCTCCCACCGAGGCAGGGTGGATATACTAAATATATACTGATATACTAATATACTGATATACAGATATACTAAATATATACTGTAATGTATATACAGGACACCTAGGTAGTAGGTTGGTAGACGGCAACTGCCGAGGGAGGTACTACCGTCCTGCCAAGTGAGTGTAAAACGAAAGCCTTTAATTGTTTTATATGATGGTAGGATTGGTGGTGTTTTTTTTTCCATCTCAGAAACATGCAAGATTTCAGGTACGCCTTGCTACTTCTACTTACACTTAGGTCACACTACACATGCACGTACAAGCATATACAGTATATATACACACCCCTGTGGGTTTTCTTTTATTTTCTTACTAGTTCTTGTTTATTTCCTCTTATCTCCAAGTCATAAGAGGCAACTAACATGCCTGGAGTAATGAGCTAGTAACCCCTTCTCCTGTATACATCACTAAAGTTAAAAAGAGAAATGTTTGTTTTTCTTTTTGGGCCACCCTGCCTCAGTGGGATATGGCTGGTGCGTTGAAAGAATATACAGGACAATAAATACGAATATAAACCCAGCTTTGAAACTCTTTCTGGAGAGCTGCAACAAAACTTAGACATAATAAAAGAAACAAATAGAGTGGAACCCCGAGTTTCGGCCACCTCGAGTATCAGCCACCCTGAGTATCAGCCGCTTCGAGTTTCGGCCGCTTTTTTCGGCTAAATTTTGTCCCGAGTTTCGGCTGTTGTCCCGTGTTTTGGCCAACGTACCAGACCTGTCCGCCTGCCCGCACCTGCTCGCCTCCCTGCGCAGGCATCACGACCAGTCTAGCTTTGTTTATCCTTGAGCGAATATTACCCTGCACGAGCATCCAAACACTTCACAATAAATTCATTGTGTTTAGTGCTTGTTTACTGACTGTGACTGTGAAATAAGCCACCATGGGCCCAAAGAAACTTTGTAGAGGCAGTGATTAAGGCAGTGGTTGAGGCAGTGGTTGAGGCAGTGGTGGAGGCAGTGGTTGAGGTAGTGGTTGAGGCAGTGGTGGAGGCAGTGGCTGAGGCAATGGCTGAGACAGTGGTTGAGGCAGTGGTGGAGGCAATGGTGGAGGCAGTGGTGGAGGCAGTGGTTGACGCAGTGGTGGAGGCAATAATAAATCCTCCCTCTCTCCTCTTCCCTATCTTTCAGATGCCAACAATAGTCTTCAATAAAGGTAGGTAAATGTGATTTTAAATGTTTATTTATGTACTGTATTACTCATTTAATACTATATGTATGTTTTAAGCACTATATGTATGTTAAATTGCAGTTATTCTTTATTTTTTAAAGAACAACTGCCTCAACCACTACCTCAATCACTGCCTCCACCACTGCCTCAACCACTGTCTCAGCCACTGCCTCCACCACTGCCTCAACCATTGCCTCAACCACTGCCTCCACCACTGCCTCAACCACTGCCTCAACCACTGCCTCAACCACTGCCTCAACCACTGCCTCAACCACTGCCTCAACCACTGCCTCAACCACTGCCTCAACCACTGCCTCAACCACTGCCTCAACCACTGCCTCAACCACTGCCTCAACCACTGCCTCAACCACTGCCTCAACCACTGCCTCAACCACTGTGAATATTTTTGTGGGTCTGGAAAGGATTAACTGTAATTACATTATTTCTTATGAGAAATATTGCTTCGACTTTCAGCCGTTTTGAGTTTAGGCCTAGCTCATGGAATGGATTACGGCCGAAATTCGGGGTTCCACTGTACCTCTTTTATGTCTCCCATGTTTCGATCAGCTTGAGTAAAATGCCAGCATGCATAAAAGGTCCCAAAATTTACAACTCTCTTTGAGGAGATTTCAAAGGTTCCCTGTCTGCCAACCTCTTTGGAACTATTGTCAAAATACACCTCCTTACCTAAATGTGGTTCATGATAGCAATATACTATGTCAAACATATCTTGAAGCCAGCTTGATGAGTTTTCATCCATTACTCATCGTCCTGTACTTGATTTTTTTTTCATTTTTCTACCATATACTGTAACATATCTTTACGATGCCTTCACTCAGACATTACTGTTGTAGTGAGAGTTTTACACTCAATCTTCATTCTATCTAATTTCTTATATCCATGTCTACTGCAACAATTCTACAATGTTAAACAGTTATTACTTTAATTCAAATTGATATAGCATTGCAGTTTCATAAACTAGTATCAATCAACCTGTTAAAACTAGTCAATTGCAATTTGTTTAAGGAATAATCTTGTAACTTGGTTCTTAACTATTTTTTTTTTAACTTCCTATTAATTCTTTGTACTAGACACATAAAAATTATACTGGATGTACTGTAGTCTTAATTGCTGTAGTCCAAGTTTGCCCAAAATGCTGTACATCGCATGGGTTTTCCAATGATTTTAAATTTTATATAATGATTTGAAGTAAAAAATTTGAATTTATATATCTGCTTATCTGGACTGTATATTTCTCTGATGAGTTCTTACATAGTAAGTCTTAAAACATGCTATAACATCTTGATTGAAACTGAAAACCTTTATTTCTTAGATACACATAGAGAACTTAACTGGTTACAATGGTAAAGCTAAATTCTTTATACAGAACATACAGAAATAGGAGATATATGGTGAAAGAAGATGCTATACTAAAATATTTTCCAAACAAAATAAACACTAGAAAACAAAGATTATAATACAAACCTGCATTTTGAATCTCTTCCACAACCTTATCTGCAGCACGGGAACTCTTGCCTTCTCCTTTCGTGTCACCACCCAAATCATTCACAACCACTTTTGCACCACGAGATCCAAACAGTAGGGCATATGACCGACCCAGGCCTGAAAAAATTCAAACATTATACTTAAAAAAAAAAAAAAATACTCATACACTGCAACTAAAAGATTTTTAACCATATGTTATTACACATCTGTACTGACAGCAAGAGAGCTATAGCAATGATACTCCATCTTAATTATTTACTGCTAAGTGTTAAAATTTTCTAATACATATTTGTATCAAACAACTCCCCAAAACCCACAGCCTTATTTTATACTTACTTGCTAATAAAAAGTACTATACAGCACCCAATTTGTTTTTGAAAACCTTATGGAATTTTTGTACTCTTAAAATGTAGTGGAAAAGGGCAAATGTTATACCCATCTACAAGGCACGAGATTGGTCTCTAATTTGAAACCTAGGGCAACAGCCTAACCTCAGTTGAAGAGAAAATTAACAGAATCAATAACTGCAGATAAAATTCAAAGCCGCTTTGAAAAATATACAGTAATTTGATCAATGAATCTCAAGACGGTTGTACTAAGAAGCATTCATGCCTTACAAATTTCCTAACCTTTTTCATTATGGTATTCGAGACAGTCAATCAAGATAAAGAATACAATAGTGTGTGTATGAACTTCAGTAAGACTGATGCAGAAAGTAGTGGTACATGATATACAAGAAATTATCTCCTAAGTTAAGTCAAGGCTGACAAATAGACAACAGTTTACCTGGAGTTTACCTGGAGAGAGTTCCGGGGGTCAACGCCCCCGCGGCCCGGTCTGTGACCAGGCCTCCTTAGGTCAGTGTCCCAGGATGCGACCCACACCAGTCGACTAACACCCAGGTACCCATTTTACTGATGGGGAACATAGACAACAGGTGGAAAGAAACACGTCCAATGTTTCTACTCTGGCTGGGAATCGAACCCAGGCCCTCACCGTGTGAAGCGAGAGCGTTAACCACCAGGCCACCAGAGCACAGTGTGGGCATGCAAGGAAAAAAATCAGAATGGGGACTTGTTACAATTGATGTTTCACAGGGGTTGTTTGTATTCTAAACCCAGAAGGTTAGCCACCCAAAATTACCCAATAGAGTCCATGCATTATCAGGAACTGTCAGTTTTATTTTCAATGGAGTCCTTAAATCTTCTTCCCCAGGATGCAATGTACAACGGTTGACTTACCTGGAGTATACCTGGAGAGGGTTTTGGGGGCCAATGCCCCCATGGCCCAGTCTGTGACCAGGACTCATGGTGAATCAGGGTCTGATCAACCAGGCCATTACTGTTGGCCGCACGCAACCCGACATACGAACCACAGCCTGGCTAGTCAGGTACTGACTTTAGGTGCCTGTCCAGCGTCTTCTTGAAGACTGCCAGGGGTCTATTGGTAATTCCCCTTGTGTATGCTGGGAGGCAGTTGAACAGTCTTGGGCCCCTGACACTTATTGTGTTGTCTCTCATCGTGCTAGTGACACCCCTGCTTTTCATTGGGGGATGTTGCATCATCTGCCGAGTCTTCTGCTTACACGGCGAGCGAGTTTCACGTAAAAGTTTGGTACTAATCCCTCTAGGACTTTCCAAGTGTATATAATCATGTATCTCTCCCTCCTGCAATCTAGGGAGTACAGGTTGAGAAACTTTAAGCGTTCCCAGTAATTGAGGTGTTTTATCTCCGTTATGCGCGCCGTGAAGGTTCTCTGTACATTTTCTAGGTCAGCAATTTCACCTGCCTTGAAAGGTGCTGTTAGTGTGCAGCAATATTGGGGGCTCTGGTGGCCTGGTGGTTAACGCTCTCGCTTCACACGGTGAGGGCCTGGGTTCGATTCCCAGCCAGAGTAGAAACATTGGACGTGTTTCTTTCCACCTGTTGTCTATGTTCCCCATCAGTAAAATGGGTACCTGGGTGTTAGTCGACTGGTGTGGGTCGCATCCTGGGACACTGACCTAAGGAGGCCTGGTCACAGACCGGGCCGCGGGGGCGTTGACCCCCGGAACTCTCTCCAGATAAACTCCAGATAGAACAAACAACCTGAATAGTATCATGACCTTGACATCCCTAGTTTTGAAGGTTCTCATTATCCATCCTGTCATTTTTCAAGCAATATTGTGGTCTTTTGAAGGTAAGATTCCCTGACATTATCACTCCCAGGTTTTTACATTAGTTTTTCATTCTATTGTGTAGTTGGAATTTGTTTTATACTTCAATACAGTTTTAATTTCCTCACGTTTTCCATATTGGAGTAATTGAAATTTATCATCACTGAACTTCACATTGTTTTCTGTGGTACTCGGGTTGATCCAAGGAACAGGAGGTTAATTCCAATTCCTTGGATCCAGAGCACAACACGTCACCTCCCCCGTGGGGTGTTCATTATGAAGATTTACCCTGGGATAAACCAATAATATAAAACAATGAGTTATTACAGTAATTATAATCAGCTGATGTCATGGTGAGTCTATAAAGTCACACCAGATAAGACGACCACCTCTTAACATTTATTAATGCAAATCTACCACTGGTGTAGGAGAACACCAGTAGATATAATAATTAACTTACCACCCCCGGCGCCTGTAATTATGGCCACTTTTCCATCAAAACGCAAAGTTGACGACATGTTGTACAGCTGGTTATGTTAACACTGAGCCAGCTGGTGGCACTCTCCACCTGCCTGGCACTACCACTATACTGCTGCCACATCAACCTCCACACACTGATATAATTAACTTATCATGCCTAATAACATATGTATAAATCACATAGAATAACAAAAAAAAGTCAAAATTACTTATTTCCATTGAATTCGACTTCTTGAATTTAATATCATCTAATGTACAAATTTTTTTCTTATGTACTTACTATTCTATAACCCAAATATTTTTTTTAATCATGTACAATATATTTAATCTACTTACATATACAATCATTATATACTTATTAGTGTACATTTAATGACCTTAAATACATATATGTAATGTTTATACTCTTTTTAGTTTAATATCTTCATTATGAACCCCCATACCCATCCTGTGGGCGGTAGTCACCCCGTACCCATCCTGTGGGTGGTAGTCACCCCATACCCATCCTGTGGACGGTAGTCACCCCATACCCATCCTGTGGGTGATAGTCACCCCATACCCATCCTGCGGGTGGTAGTCACCCCATACTCATCCTGTGGGCGGTAGTCACCCCATACTCATCCTGTGGGCGGTAGTCACCCCATACCCATCCTGTGGGTGGTAGTCACCCCATACCAATCCTGTGGGCGGTAGTCACCCCATACTCATCCTGTGGGCGGTAGTCACCCCATACCCATCCTGTGGGCGGTAGTCACCCCATACCCATCCTGTGGGTGAGTCACCCCATACCCATCCTGTGGGTGGTATTCACCCCATACCCATCCTGTGGGTGGTAGTCACCCCATACCCATCCTGTGGGTGGTAGTCACCCCATACCCATCCTGTGGGTGGTAGTCACCCCATACCCATCCCGTGGGCGGTAGTCACCCCATACCCATCCTGTGGGTGAGTCACCCCATACCCATCCTGTGGGTGGTAGTCACCCCATACCCATCCTGTGGGCGGTAGTCACCCCATACTCATCCTGTGGGCGGTAGTCACCCCATACCCATCCTGTGGGTGGTAGTCACCCCATACCCATCCTGCGGGTGGTAGTCACCCCATACTCATCCTGTGGGCGGTAGTCACCCCATACCCATCCTGTGGGTGGTAGTCACCCATACCCATCCTGTGGGTAGTAGTCAAAATATTACAGAGGTACATTATGGGTCCAGGGACTGGACCCCAAAGTTATGATAGCTGAACTAGTTACAAATGTAATGAACTCCAGGTAGATCTGGTCACAGTCATGTCAAGTTACAAAGGTAATGAACCATCTACACTCCTATACATAGTTACAATCATGAACAAATTACAAAGTAATGAGCCACGGTATTTTTACTTTCTTCTCAAGTTTTCGTTTATAACTTGAGAACCCCTCCAAGGATATTACACTGGACAACAAAATTATATATGTTGGTTCTGCTACAGTGGAGATGTTCATGTGTAACATGAGAAACATGCTGATTACAGATTTGAAGTTGAAATTCAGCTAGCACGTCAGGATTTTTTAGTTATTGGAAAATAATTTCAAGAATTGTTTATTTAGAAATTATATCCCTAAAATTTTATAGCACATGTGATATAATGAGTTATTATAAACGTATTCCCTAGTATAAAAGGAGGCACCCGGAAGTTCGCTATCTCGCCCTGAAATCTTAATGAAGGCGTAGCTGAGGAACAGAACCTCAAGACGGAAAAAGCACCTTTGTGACCAGTCAACAAAGGTACCCATGGAGATGTGTGCTAGCATAATGGAATGGGGACAAGAAAGAAAATGCTCCACCATATCTGGCTGGCTGAAGCACCACCTGCAAACTGGGGAGGCAACCATCTGGACAGGATATAGACGGCCCCAAATCTGGAGTGTCCCACACGAAGGCACGTCAGGGCCACAATGAGTGCCCAAGAAGAATGGGGACTCACTGGAGCTCAATGCCGAGGTGTGATGGGAGGTGGCCAGACTACCCCTACCAGTGGAAAAGGATCTCTTCATACTCCCTTCATGAACTCCCACCAGTTGAGAGGGTTAGGAGTGATGACTGGGAGGGAGGGAAGGAGTAAGGAAGACAACTCTGTCTACAAACTCATTACTCCAGATGCCCACATGATACGGGACTCATTGAAGATTGATGCTTCAACCTTGGAGGGAAGGGGACGCTAAGGAGGAATCCGAGGAGGACATGTATTCTGTGGACCAAAAGGCCAGAGAAATTATATAGTGAGTGCAGAGTACGACAGGTTGCGGTCTGGAGTTTTACGACTCTCTAACAGCGAGTTCAATTCCCACCTGTGGTATGGTTTGTTTGCAATCGTATCATTACGATTTCGTGAGTCATGAGGAAGATGAAAGAGAGCGAACTGAAAGGCGTGGTAGACTGTGAAAAGCTCTCAAGCAAGGAGAAAGTGGGATGGATCCAGTCACCAGGTTCGACAGAGAGAATTGTCCGGAAAGTAAGCAGCAGAATGGGTGTAGGGTGGAGAGGAAATTTGAGAGCTGACATTGTAAACTAAGAAAGAGGAATCATAGAGGAACAGAATTCATCAAAGATTCAACTGATGTTCAGCATTGCTCCCGAGTCTGGGCACAGACAAAGTCAAGGTGCATGCAACCCTCCAAATCCACACAGGAAAAATGCAGGAGCGCAGAAGCGAAAGAGCCTGAGGAGGCTTAAGTAAAAAAAAAAAAATCAATTGTGCCAGATGTGGAAGGGAAAGGAAGATAAAGGAGCCCACTTGGGAAGAAAAAGGAAAGAGGTAACTCCGGGGTCGTAATGAAAGATGGTATTACAACCCAGGAGTCCAAAGGCCTGTTATCCTGGGTGTAAAGGGAGCAAAATAAGCACAGCAGGAAAACTTTTGACTTACATTATCCTTCACCAATTTAGAACAGAAGTATGTACACTATATACACTATGTACAACAATAGGTATTAGTGCACTCCACGGTAAGCAAGGCAGAATAGAAGCCACTAGAGAGCAGACCGTGCTTCAACCAGCTCTAGAATGGGAATGACAAGGGCAGACAGGTGTGTGGTGACCACAACACCTCTGTGATTGCCAAAACCATCTTCTCATTGGCTGAACCTGGGTACTGATCGAACGACGGGGCCCCATCGCCAACCCTTAGTACTGGTTCACTGGTTGGGGAAGATAGCCTTGCAATGAGGGTGTGTACACGCGCCGAATAAAGGTTACATACTCTTTGCATGCAACAGATGGTGAAGCTGAAGACAGTCCCATGTCTGCCGTGTCAATGACAAGGAAACCACCCCGTCCCAGCCTCAAGTGCTGCAATTGGCATTAAGGGAAAAGCTATTAGAACCATTCAGATGACTGCATTGTGGATGACATCCAGAGAGCATGCAGGGAAGGGGGGATATTTACGCTCCTCACTAGCATATGAAATCTTACTGTGAACAGCTGCTTTGCAAAAATGGAGGTCATGATCCACTCCCCATATAGTCTCGGAAGTCACGAAAGCAAGACTCGGCAAGCATAAGACAGACATAAGGCTGTGACATAGATTCTTCATACTACAAGAGGCACATCAAGAGTGACGCCAAGCCTGTGTGGGAGACAACTAATGAGGAAGGAGTAGGTCCTAGAGACAGGAAAGAAATTAATGCAATATCTGTTAAAGAGCATGAGGGCCGATTTAGCCACACTGATTTGAAGGCTCCATTCTATGAATATTACCCAAGATGTCACATAGGTCAGCGCCTCTTGGACATTGGACAGAGCCAACTTAGGTGTGTCTACACCACCCAGAAGTGTAATGTAATCTTCACACACAAGATTGTGCCCCAGGATAAGACAGCAGGTCTTATACGAGAATATTAAACAGAAAGGAGCTGAGAACTAATCTCTGGGGCACACCCTTGTATACCTATCGTAAACCAGAGATGACACCTCCCACAGGCACTTGAAACAAGCAACCCTTACAGTAACTGTATCTACATGAGGGGATGGTCTAAAGAGCTCAATTATATCAATTTTGTGGAGGACTGTAAAGTGGGAGGCAGAGTAAAACGTACCCTGTATATTTAAAGAGGATGTTAGAAGAAATTGTAAGTCTCAAAGATACTTTGGACAAGTCCTGCAAAAAGAAGAGAGTTCAGTGTATTCCAGATTTTGCTGAAATCACTAAGGAAATTTGGAAGAAGGTTGTGTTCCTTGACCCACCAAGATCAGCATGAAGAAACTAAACACTCCATTACCTTACCAAGACCTATAGGAGCCCAACTGAAAAACATCCTTATTTGGCTTCATATCAGGATCAAGAGAGAGAGAGCGCGCTTCCACTCATCCGGGAAGAAGTCAGTGGAAAAAAAAGGCCTGAGCTTGCTACCATCTGCAGCTCATAAGGCTGCCATCCCCACGAGCCCCTTCGAGGCGGGGTAGATGGCAGACCAGAGGCCTAGCTTCTCCCTACGAGCCCCGTGAGGGCGGGGAATGTGGCTAGGCCTGGGGACACTTGGTCCCAAAGATGAGGAGGTACTTGTCCTTCCTCCCATGGGAGACTTAAGTCTCGAGACACTCCCCAGATAGGGAGCCAAGGCCGGGTCACCACTACTTGGAAAAGACCCGGGCCGGGAGAATACCGGTGAATAAAAAAAAAAAAAAAAAAAAAGTCAGTGGACCAGCTGAGGCCGAAAATGCCTAGGACAACATTCAGGCCAGAAGGCAGATGAAGATATAAAGAAAACAGCGAGGGATGCTGTCCGCCCAGGGTAGACCGAGGAAAAAGCTGGGAGAGGGTTCTGTCAAGTTCATGGTAAGGGGAATGAGGTTGCAAGGGAAAAGCAGGCCTTGGCTGGTGTCTCTAGGAAAATGGATGATAGAAAAAATACCCTGGAAGGCAGCAGAGTGGTAAGGGCAAATGGAAGAGGTCAGTGAAACGATCTGCCTTACCTAGGGCAGACAGCTCCTAACCTGTTCCTTGAAGAGGGAAGGACTTTTCTTGCCACAGCCAAGCATGAAACGAAAGAAACCTGAGACTTAGTAGCAGATGATATCCGAATGGAAAGATCGCATCTGTTATCATCCCTGTGAGCTTTGTATCCATGAGTGCTATAATGTCTGGGGATACCTCCGTGAT